ATTAAGGATATATCTATTTCAACACCTGTTATGTATTCTCAAACTTGTATGAAATTATCATATAAGTGTTGAAGACACAAGCAATGATACTTAGGCTTGTTGTTGAGTAGAATATACTTGTATGAAAAATATGACAGAATTAGTGATTAAGTTTGCAAACTAAACTCCAAAAAACATCAAATATTCAGTGACATTTCATGCTTATAATTACAAATTCTAATAAATCGTTTAATATATCCCCTTCTGGGTTTTGATATGCATTTTAACGAATTTAGATTTTTCCAAGTTTACTCTTTATTTATAACGATTTAGACCCTTAGCATAATTGACGAAGCCTTTAATGACGAAACAGCTGTGTGATACAATTGTAACACAACAAGGCGTGAACTCTTGCTTCATATTTGATAACATAGTTTATCAACAGCATCAAAGTTCTATATACAAACGCATCGTGATCGTATAGTGTCTTCTGTTACAATGGCCTAGTACTCTCTGTAAGTTAATCAAGTACAACTTTCTAATGTCTGACATTACTGGCCTCTTGGCGTCGTCTGTCCCGAGGCACCATCATAGGCACTCAGGGTTTCTCATCACAGCCCAACTCTTAGCTGGTAGTGATAACTCCCCAACTCCCAACTCGTACCTTACTCGACTCTCCTCTTACTGTTACTCTTCTCCACTCCCCCCTCTGTACTATAAAACCCTGTCTTTTATCCTCTCTGTAAACTAGATGTATCCAATCACTAACTGCCCCGTGTGTCGGGTACCTGATTATCTTGTGTTAGTGTTTACCTGAGATCCTTATGGTATAATTCCAATCTGTTCGGTAATTCTCTCTTCCAGCTTGTACCTCCCCTATCAATAGTCTACCGGCAAGACTATTGATAATGTGAGATAGCACAGCCGTAACGTTAATCCTCCCCCACGATAACATTGCCCTATTCCCGAACATAAATATACAGGTTTCTAACATAGCATTACTTCTAAAACCAAATAACCCCAATAATTATTAGAAGTCAATTAGTCCACTACATAATCAGTTAAATGCCCATGACTTTGTTACAACAATTTAATGCAAACAAAACAGCTGTGTGATACAGTTTAATGCATATTATCAATGGAAACAATGATACATTCCTTCAGTGAATGCAATATATGAAATATCGCTTTAAATGAAACAGGAAATTCTAAAAAAAAAAAAAGAACACATTTACATTTCAAATGTCTTTCTACGACGTGTTACTTAAACGAAGATAGAAACCCAACAGCTTATATACTTTATTAATGAATGTTCATAGAAAACACTAGATTTCTGTTTCAGAAGAAATATATTTATTGGAATATATATGTACATCATTTAGATTTAAGCATATATTTGAGCAAATACAAAGTAAAGCTTTGACAGTATAAGGTAGAATTTCTGCTTCAATAACATATTATTATGCAAAAAATGAAATAATGTTATAACATAATTACCAAAAATCCAGTAACGGAGAAAAATAAACTCAATTAATGTATGGGGAATATTGAAGTATTCGAAATCATAAACCAATGCAAATCAAAGAGCTCGTTCGAAAATATTTCCAATGCATTTTCTTCAACTTTATTCAATTTGTTTCCATTATAGAATGTCTATCTGGTTTAAATATCAGAAGACAGATAGATAAATGATCTGTTTTAAACTTTATCAACTCAGCAGTAAACAAGGAAGATAAAACTGGATATTGAAATATTTGGGATTAAAACAGTCGATCTATGGAAATGTATAGATCGGTAAGGTTTAAAGTTGACGAGGCTAAGACGAGACTGTCAGTCTGAGGAAATACAGATGGGTCAGTCAGGTTTACAGAGGAGGTGACGAAATCAAGACTGCTGGTCTACAATGATAAAAGGGTCAGTCAGGTTTACAGAGGAGGTGACGAAGTCGAGACTCGGCCTACAAGAATATAGAGGGTCACTCAGATTTACAGAGGAGGTGACGAAATCAAGACTGCTGGTCTACAATGATAAAAGGGTCAGTCAGGTTTACAGAGGAGGGGGCGAAGTCGAGACTCGGCCTACAAGAATATAGAGGGTCACTCAGATTTACAGAGGAGGTGACGAAATCAAGACTGCTGGTCTACAATGATAAAAGGGTCAGTCAGGTTTACAGAGGAGGGGGCGAAGTCGAGACTCGGCCTACAAGAATATAGAGGGTCACTCAGATTTACAGAGGAGGTGACGAAATCAAGACTGCTGGTCTACAATGATAAAAGGGTCAGTCAGATTTACAGAGGAGGGGGCGAAGTCGAGACTCGGCCTACATGAATAAAAAGGGTCAGTTAGGTTTACAAAGGAGGGGGCGAAGTCGAGACTCGGCCTACAAGAATATAGAAGGCCAGTCAGATTTACAGAGGAGGGCGCGAAGTCAAGACTCGGCCTACTTGAATAAAGAGGGCCAGTCAGATTTACAGAGGAGGGGGCGTAGTCGAGACTCGGCCTACTTGAATAAAGAGGGTCAGTCAGATTTACAGAGGAGGGGATGTAGTTGAGACTTGGTTTACATGAATAAAAAGGGCCAGTCAGATTTACAGAGGAGGGGGCGAAGTAGAGACTCGGCCTACAAGAATATAGAGGGCCAGTCAGATTTACAGAGGAGGGGGCGAAGTCGAGACTCGGCCTACATGAATAAAGAGAGCCAGTCAGATTTACAGAGGAGGGGGCGTAGCTGAGACTTGGTTTACATGAATAAAAAGGGTCAGTCAGGTTTACAGAGGAGGGGACAAAGTCGAGACTCAGTCTACATGAATAAAAAGGGTCAGTCAGTTTTGCAGAGGAGGGGGCGAAGTTGAGACTCGGCCTACACAAATAAAAAGGGTCAGTCAGGTTTACAGAGGAGGGGGCGAAGTCGAGACTCGGCCTACATGAATAAAAAGGATCAGTCAGATTTACAGAGGAGGGGGCGAAGTCGAGACTCTTGGTCTAAAGATGTGTAGACATACAGATGCCCAGTCTGTTGCATTATGAAGATAACACTCATGTTAATCAATACCTTCCTTAATACATTCACCGACATGCTCTTCCAGATCCGTGAGGGATCGCGCCGTGGATCTCTGGTATTAATGTCATGATATACCAGATACATACGGGATCGTGCCCTGATGTCTGATACTAATCTCACAATAACTGATTCGTGACGAGTCACGCTCTTGATCTCTGGTACTAATTATATGCTCTACCATCAGAGATCACGCCCTTGACCTCTGGGACTAATCTTAAGCTACACCAGATCCATCAGGAATCGCGTCCATGACCTCTGGTACAAATGTCATGCCCTACCAAATCCATCAGGGATCGCGCCCTGCATCTCTCAAATAAAGATCTTACAATAGTAGTAAAATATTTTGCTTTCAGACTTTGACGTTTTGGGTAATATTTTATTTACGATTAACGTTATTTCGAGTTTTTTGGAAAAATTTTAAAGAAATAAAAGCGTTCATGATCTCAGAAGTTTTATAAACATGCAACAGGTAGGGTTACATTGGTAGCATATCGTTATATGTGTAAGTTGAAAAAAAGATCCATTTTAAATCAACATTAATTCTGAACAATCAAGACAATAAATCTCAGTTGTCAATTATATACTATTATTAGAGCAATAAACTTTTAGGGTAAAAAAAAAGAATGAAACAAAAATAACATCAAAGAAGGTATCAATTGAACGTAAACAGGTAGGGTCACATGTAAACAATTGAACGTAAACAGGTAGGGTCACATGTAAACAATTGAACGTAAACAGGTAGGGTCACATGTAAACAATTGAACGTAAACAGGTAGGGTCACATGTAAACAATTGAACGCAAACATGTAAAGTCACATGCATAGAAATGAACGCCAACAGGTAGGGACACATACAGACAAATGAACGCAAAGTGGTAAGGTCACACTCAGAAAATTGAACGCCAACAGGTAGGGCGACGAGCGGACAACTGAACGCTAACAGGTTTTGCCACAAGCAAACAACTGAACGCAAACATGTAAAGTCACATGCATAGAAATAAATGCCAACATATAGGGTCACAAACAAACAGTTGAACGGCAACAGGTAGGGTTTTACTCAGACAACTGAAATCCCTAATATAAGGTCATATACAGATATTTGAACACCAACAGGTAGGGTTTTACTCAGATTACTGAACACCAACAGGTAGGGTTTTACTCAGATAACCAAACACCAACAGGTAGGGTTTTACTCAGATAACCAAACACCAACAGGTAGGGTTTTACTCAGATAACTGAACACCAACAGGTAGGGTTTTACTCAGATTACTGAACACCAACAGGTAGGGTTTTACTCAGACAAATGAAATCCATGATATAGGGTCATATACAGATATTTGAACACCAACAGGTAGGGTTTTACTCAGATAACTGAACACCAACAGGCAGGGTTTTACTCAGTATACTGAACACCAACAGGTAGGGTTTTACTCAGATTACTGAACACCAACAGGTAGGGTTTTACTCAGACAACTGAAATCCCTAATATAAGGTCATATACAGATATTTGAACACCAACAGGTAGGGTTTTACTCAGATTACTGAACACCAACAGGTAGGGTTTTACTCAGATAACTGAACACCAACAGGTAGGGTTACACTCAGACAAATGAAATCCATAATTACTCAGATAACTGAACACCAACAGGTAGGGTTTTACTCAGATTACTGAACACCAACAGGTAGGGTTACACTCAGACAAATGAAATCCATGATATAGGGTCATATGCAGATAACTGAACACCAACAGGTAGGGTTTTACTCAGATTACTGAACACCAACAGGTAGGGTTGATATACACTCAGAGGGTTTTCAGATAACTGAACACCAACAGGAAGGTTTTCACTCAGACAAATGAACTCCTTGATATAGGGTCATATACAGATAACTGAACACCAACAGGTACTCAGACTGAACACCAACAGGTAGGGTTTTAAGCCAGATATAGGGAACACCAACAGGTAGGGTTTTACTCAGATTACTGAACACCAACAGGTAGGGTTACACTCAGACAACTGAAAGCCATAATATAAGGTCATATGCAGATAACTGAACACCAACAGGTAGGGTTACACTCAGACAAATGAAATCCATGATATAAGGTCATATGCAGATAACTGAACACCAACAGGTAGGGTTTTACTCAGATTACTGAACACCAACAGGTAGGGTTACACTCAGACAAATGAAATCCATAATATAGGGTCATATGCAGATAACTGAACACCAACAGGTAGGGTTACACTCAGATAACTGAACACCAACAGGTAGGGTTTTACTCAGATAACTGAACACCAACAGGTAGGGTTTTACTCAGATAACTGAACACCAACAGGTAGGGTTACACTCAGACAAATGAAATCCATGATATAGGGTCATATACAGATAACTGAACACCAACAGGTAGGGTTACACTCAGACAAATGAAATCCATGATATAGGGTCATATACAGATAACTGAACACCAACAGGTAGGGTTTTACTCAGATTACTGAACACCAACAGGTAGGGTTTTACTCAGATAACTGAACACCAACAGGTAGGGTTACACTCAGATTACTGAACACCAACAGGTAGGGTTACACTCAGACAAATGAAATCCATGATATAGGGTCATATGCAGATAACTGAACACCAACAGGTAGGGTTACACTCAGACAAATGAAATCCATAATATAGGGTCATATACAGATAACTGAACACCAACAGGTAGGGTTTTACTCAGATTACTGAACACCAACAGGTAGGGTTACACTCAGACAAATGAAATCCATAATATAGGGTCATATACAGATATTTGAACACCAACAGGTAGGGTCAATTATTGGATATAACTTAGAAGGAAAGTTTATGACACTCATTTGACTGGTGATATACAATAACACACACATTTATAACCTTTTGCTTAACATTTTAAAACGAAATATTAAAAAGCAGAATTATACCTATCTTATCCTCTTTTCTGTTTAACAACTATAACAAAAAGTTAAAATCTATTACAGCAATCTGAGGATTCAACAAAAAGTAAATGATTCCAGTATACAGTACGTTTTCTTATTGTTACATGATGCACTTGTGTCTGATATTCTTGGAACCCATTCCACATATAATTCATCTAGGTGACAATGTTCTAGTGGCGAAATTCTAACCCCACAGTTTTTATTGTTTGGCGAAATTGGAATAATAGTAATCATCACCGGAGCCGCTGAACATCTTTTCAATATCTTCCCTTATTTCTTGGAAAGTCGGCCGTTCTGTAGGTTTCATTTTCCACGAATTTTGCATGATCTTGTAATGGCTGAAATAGAATATGGTGTTTATTTTAGGAAGATGCTTGCGGAAACGAAATATGAAATCTGTATACTACGTCATAATCTGAATTCAAAGTCCAGTGCTCTATTTAGTCATGGAATTTTGACAAAATATGATATTCAGACGCTTTGAGTAATGAGAATTTATATCTGTAGAAATGAAATGAATTTAAATAAGAATTAACTTACGTGTCATCACAGAATTCAGGTCGGCCAAGTCTCTCTCCTCTCTTAAGGGCACGGGACAGGTCTGCCGATCTAATCTTAGGATAGGGGGTTTCTCCTGTAATATATATTTCATCAAGGCCATATTTGGTGCCTGCATGTCCACAGTAACAAATCGTTATATTTGCGTTTTACGCAGGCACTGTTACTTTAACTCCAGTTTGCTAAACCTTTTCTCGATGCTGTAAATGTGTGGAAAACATTTTTTGCTGTTTGCCAATACAAGTATATCCCTTTTTTGATCGGATCGCACATTCACGACAAAGTGTTATTTGTTTTAATGTTTTACGAATGGAACCTGAGAACAACTTGATAATATAATCATACTCAAAATGTATAGAAAAGAATATATTTATCCAGTAACATAGAAATAAACAGGACAGGTGTTACGAAGAATATTTCAGTGAATGAAAAAAATCTTTTACCAAATGAAAAGATCTCCCACATGACGATACCGTTTGACCAGACATCAGATTTCTCCGTCGCCTTATTTTTGCTGGAGCTAAGGCATTCCGGAGCTATCCACTTAACCGGAATGCGTTCCTGGAAAAAATAGAACGTTTTTAATGTGACTGTATATTTACTTGAACTTTGATGGAAATATCATTTAGTTTCATACTGGCAAGAATTTATGATATGGAGACTAAATATACGCTTTACAAAGCTTATAATTATATAAACATTTTATAACTTAATGAAGAATTATTTTCTTACGAATCGCTACGCATTAAAGCTTGCGTGGCGTGACATCATCAACAGATAATTCGCGCACCATTCAGTCGCTTAAAAATTGTTCATGAGAGGACCCATCATATTCCTTATGAAAATGTATAGTGTAAGACAGTGGACGGAGGGGCTCCGAAAACATATACTTGGCAGGTGGTTAGTTAACATCATTAGTTAGAACCAGTACTGTGGAATTATAGCGAGTAGCGATTTTTTAAAGGGATGACTGGATGAAATGCAACATGATTGGTACTCCTAGGTGATCCTTGTTATCTAGATTTCCATGTATTCAAAAAACTTTTTCGGCATCAATATTGTAAGTAATTTTAATATTTATATTATTGTAGTCCTTTTTTGTTAACATTATGGAATGACTGCGATCTATACACATTAGATGTATGTTTGTAGAATAATGAACGATTCCATTCGTAACGAAAGGTGTCTCGATAGACCCGCTGCAAGGAGGTGTGTTGCAATAGACTCCTTCAATCATTATCAGGTGGGCGGAGCTAGATATATTTTCATCAAGAAATGAAAACGATGAATTGGAAAGCATAATTTTGAGTGCAAACAACAAAATATAACTTATTTATAGGTAATTATTACAACTCTATAGCTGCACGATATCTACAGAAGTAAACGTTTACATCAAACATTACAGAAGATTGATGGGGAAAATGCGAACTAAGTCACCAAAATATAAAGCTACATTGAACTAGAATAAATATTTAGATAAAAAGTAGATAAAAAAACCAAACAAAAACCCAAATAGAAATACATCTATATACAAACTTTCTTGTCGCCGTCTTCTTCGTCATCCCCATGGCGTGGACCAAAACCGGCAATCTTGGGCTCTAGTTTATCAGTTAACAAGACGTTTCTCGCTGCCAGGCGCATATGAATTATCTGTCGGAAAGCCATCCATTAAAGTTTTGGTAGAGTCATTCCAAACTGATAACATGTAGTATTTAAACTTTACCTTAACCTTTCAGAACACAATATAAGAGTGAAGGGAGTATACATTCTTTTGCATGAAAGAATATCACAATTATGTTCAGGAAATACTCATCTCGCGAGTATTGTACCGATTATTGTAAAAGTATACTTAGTAAGTTGCACCTAATATACTTTGACGCAATAAGACTACACTTTCTATATCGCGATGTCACAGATAAGACTTCACTTTCTATATCGCGATATCACAGATAAGACTTCACTTGTTCTATAGCGATGTCACAGATAAGACAACACTTGTTCTATCGCGATGTCACAGATAAGACAACACTTGTTCTATCGCGATGTCACAGATCAGACTACACTTGTTCTATCGCGATGTCACAGATAAGACTAAACTTTTTCTAACGCGATGTCACAGATAAGACTACACTTGTTCTATCGCGATGTCACATATAAGACTACACTTGTTCTATCACGATGTCACATATAAGACTACACTTGTTCTATCGTGATGTCACAGATAAGACTACACTTGATATATCGCGATGTCACAGATAAGACAACACTTGGTATATCGCGATGTCACAGATAAGACAACACTTGGTATATCGCGATGTCACAGATAAGACAACACTTGGTATATCGCGATGTCACAGATAAGACTAAACTTTTTCTAACGCGATGTCACAGATAAGACTACACTTGTTCTATCACGATGTCACATATAAGACTACACTTGTTCTATCGTGATGTCACATATAAGACTACACTTGTTCTATCGCGATGTCACAGATAAGACTACACTTGGTATATCGCGATGTCACAGATACTGTTCTAACGCGATGTCACAGATAAGACAACACTTGTTCTATCGCGATGTCACAGATAAGACTACACTTGTTCTATCGCGATGTCACAGATAAGACTACACTTGGTATATCGCGATGTCACAGATAAGACAACACTTGGTATATCGCGATGTCACAGATAAGACAACACTTGGTATATCGCGATGTCACAGATAAGACTAAACTTTTTCTAACGCGATGTCACAGATAAGACTACACTTGTTCTATCACGATGTCACATATAAGACTACACTTGTTCTATCGCGATGTCACAGATAAGACAACAATTGTTCTATCGCGATGTCACAGATAAAACTACACTTGTTATACTGCGATGTCACAGATAAGACAACACTTGTTCTATCGCGATGTCACAGATAAGACAACACTTGGTATATCGCGATGTCACAGATAAGACTACACTTGGTATATCGCGATGTCGCAGATAAGACTACAGCTGTTCTATCACGATGTCACATATAAGACTACACTTGTTCTATCGTGATGTCACATATAAGACTACACTTGTTCTATCGCGATGTCACAGATAAAACTACACTTGGTATATCGCGATGTCACAGATAAGACTACAGCTGTTCTAACGCGATGTCACAGATAAGACTACACTTGATATATCGCGATGTCACAGATAAGACAACACTTGGTATATCGCGATGTCACAGATAAGACTACACTTGGTATATCGCGATGTCACAGATAAGACTACACTTGTTCTATCGCGATGTCACAGATAAGACTACACTTGTTCTATCGCGATGTCACAGATATCGCGATGTCACAGATAAGACTAAACTTTTCTATCGCGATGTCACAGATAAGACTACACTTGTTCTATCACGATGTCACATATAAGACTACACTTGTTCTATCGTGATGTCACATATAAGACTACACTTGTTCTATCGCGATGTCACAGATAAGACTACACTTGTTCTATCGCGATGTCACAGATAAGACTACACTTGTTCTATCACGATGTCACATATAAGACTACACTTGTTCTATCGTGATGTCACATATAAGACTACACTTGTTCTATCGCGATGTCACAGATAAAACTACACTTGTTCTATCGCGATGTCACAGATAAGACTACACTTGTTCTATCGCGATGTCACAGATAAAATACACTTGTTCTATCGCGATGTCACAGATAAGACTACACTTGGTATATCGCGATGTCGCAGATAAGACTACAGCTGTTCTATCACGAGGTCACATATAAGACTACACTATCATTCACCTTTTTTTTTCTTTAAAATGTAAAAAGTAGTAGATGAACAGTTACGTCGCAATTATTCATTTTCGTTATCAAAAAATACATTTAAATTGCAAATATATCATTAGTTATATACCTCTCGACTGGCGAGATACTCCATTCCCTGTATAATGGAATAAACAAACCGGAAGAGGAAATCAATGCTAGAGTCAGATGGGCGATCTTTGTTATTTGTGAGCCAGTCTTTCACCGAGCCGTAACCACAGCGCTCCAATACCATAACTGGTCCCACTGGAATAAAGAGTAAGCGATTTCAGCAAAAGACACTTGATATAATAAGTTAAGACTAAATAATGCTTGTAGTTGTTACAATATCACTAGAAACTTTACTATTTACCCACGATTTGTAGGCAGCTTCCTTAAATACATGCGTAACTTATCTTAATCAATATTATATCAAATCCGACACACATCATTTTCGTTATTCTCATATTGGCGAGAAATTATCTGCAGACGTATTTTAAACCTTCACCAGGTACCATATGTAAAAGATAAATACGATATAACATATATCCTTCGTTTAACAATCTACCAGTCTTTTTCTGATATTTAATTCAAATGACCATACTCTTATCATCACTGATGATTGCTCCGATCATTTCTAGGATGCATGAATGCCGTCCAACCTTTGTGCCGAAGAAGTTTATCTTTGCAGCCATCAAGACCGAGTCTTCTTCGGTGTAATTGTCTAGAGAACATAAAATATATCTTCTTCACGTAATATTGATTTCTTACAGAATTCGTGCACCTTCATTACCTCATACGTAATATTTTATCAAAACATAAAACATCAGAGGGTTATGAAAACAATGACAACCATTTTGTATTCAAAGTTACCAAATATTTGATATTCAGACTCGTTAATAGATTTGTCATGAAACATTAAATGTTATAAAAGTGTTTTTCTCCGACGCATCAGTATCAGTTAAATAACACCATAGATTCTCGATAATAAAGTACTGATTGTAACAAACCTTTCAACGTTTTCGCAACCACTTTCATCAATTGCCCACGTTGAATGAGATCGGCCTCATATATCTTTGCAAACTTTCCAACGGAAATCAAATTGTTGATTGTCAAATCTGCTGGATGAATGTCCCACTCAGGGGGTTGTTCGTAAGTCTGATGGCCATACATATATATGTCATCCTGATCAAATCCCCCTGTCTACATAAACAATAGTTAAGTAAGTCTGGTGACCATACATATATATGTCATCCTCATCAACCCCCTGTCTACATAAACAATAGTTAAGTAAGTCTGGTGACCATACATATATATGTCATCCTGATCAAATCCCCCTGTCTGCATAAACAATAGTTAAGTAAGCCTGGTGACCATACATATATATGTCATCCTCATCAACCCTCTGTCTACATAGACAATAGTTAAGTAAGTTTGGTGACCATACATATATATGTCATCCTGATCAAATCCCCCTGTCTGCATAAACAATAGTTAAGTAAGTCTGGTGACCATACATATATATGTCATCCTCATCAACCCTCTGTCTACATAGACAATAGTTAAGTAAGTCTGGTGACCATACATATATATGTCATCCTCATCAACCCCCTGTCTACATAGACAATAGTTAAGTAAGTCTGGTGACCATACATATATATGTCATCCTGATCAAATCCCCCTGTCTACATAGACAATAGTTAAGTAAGTCTGGTGACCATACATATATATATGTCATCCTCATCAACCCTATGTCTACATAGACAATAGTTATGTAAGTCTGGTGACCATACATATATATGTCATCCTCATCAACCCTCTGTCTACATAGACAATAGTTAAGTAAGTCTGGTGACCATACATATATATGTCATCCATCAACCCATGTCTACATAAACAATATAGTAAGTCTGGTGACCATACCTCATAAACAACCATACCATCCTCATCAACCCTCTGTCTACATAGACAATAGTTAAGTAAGTTTGGTGACCATACATATATATGTCATCCTCATACATACATCAACCCTCTGTCTACATAGACAATAGTTATGTAAGTCTGGTGACCATACATATATATGTCATCCTCATCAACCCTCTGTCTACATAGACAATAGTTAAGTAAGTCTGGTGACCATACATATATATGTCATCCTCATCAACCCCCTGTCTACATAGACAATAGTTATGTAAGTCTGGTGACCATACATATATATGTCATCCTCATCAACCCCCTGTCTACATAGACAATAGTTATGTAAGTCTGGTGACCATACATATATATGTCATCCTCATCAACCCTCTGTCTACATAGACAATAGTTAAGTAAGTCTGGTGACCATACATATATATGTCATCCTCATCAACCCTCTGTCTACATAGACAATAGTTATGTAAGTCTGGTGACCATACATATATATGTCATCCTCATCAACCCTCTGTCAATCGACCCCTAGGTTCAAAATTTCTAGATGGATGAAACAACTGTATGGCACAGTTTAACTCATTGCTTATCACAACTAAATATAACTAAATTGGTATTAAAAGGTGAAATTAACTTGTATGTTGTTTGTACAACTTTCTAACTGATACTGAATGATCATGTACCTTGTAGCTGTTTAGTACATCAAAGTTGTGCCCTCGACGGACAGACTGACGAATATTACGCATGGTATCTTGGCTCCGTTCTTTCACTAATTGCAAACGCCCAGTCTTGTGCAATATTAGCCCAGCGATTATAATAACGAGAACAAGGACGGCACCTGTTGAGAACATATAATACGCTTATTCCCTCTCTCCTGATATATATATATTTACAAAAAAAAAACCAAACAAACAAACAAATATGTTTCCATCTTTTGAAAATTGAAAAATAAAGAAATAAAATCATTTGGAAAATAATTGTGATTATTTCTAATTCTCTAAAAATAAAACGGGACCTTCTTGCAATGTTGTCTTTCAAATCAATCGAACAGTATGACAAGACAGTTTGGGCCTACAGGTGAAATTTGATTTAAACAATAAATAAGGTGGTCCACTGTCAGCCAATTTTTTTCTGATCAGGTCCTCCCAAAAAAATATATATACAAAACAAAATGACTTTGCATATTCATTCACACAAGTATTTGATTTGCTTCATGCAGATACAAGAATGAAAATGTGTTGATTTTTTTCCTGTCGAGGAAGCAAAATAAAAAAAAAACTTACATATAGCAATCCCGGATATTCCCCCAGCTGTGAGTGCTCCGGAGTCTACAATTTGCGTTTTAAACTTCCTCGCACCTGATTTATAAAAAAATAGATAGTATTACAATCTTGAGAATTCCTCGCAAATGATTTATATCTTTTAACATATAGTAATAAGATCTTCAATTTCCTAGCACCTGATTTATAAATTAACAGTTAGTAATAAGATCTTGAGAAATTCCTCGCATCTGATTTAAGTATTAGAAGATAGCGTTAAGATCTTGAACTATTTCCACATACCTGACTTATAGATTGATAAATGGTATTAAAATAACCATTTTTTCAAAGTAGTGGTTCGTGAAGTTTTAACACATAATGTTTGATTAAGCAAATTAATAGTGCTGTTAAAAAAATGTTGTTTGAATATCTACTTCGTGGATGGAGTTACTGGATACTCACAAAAGTCCATGCCACGGAGGTCCTGAATGTTCTCAATCTGCAAAACATTTTGTAACAAGTTGAACTTAATATCATTTTTTAAAAATGGTAAACAAATGTTTACTACTTATATTAATCCCTCTCGTTGGCCCGGATGAAAGTGCGTGAAGGGTCTTCCTGTGGGAGGAAACCAGAGTACTCGGGGAAAACCCACACGAAATCGAACTTCGAACGACTAGGTGAAAGACAACTGCGCAATCCGACCGTCCAGTTAATTTATTGAAAAAAAACCTCAGAAATTGATATTAATAAGATTTCATAGTTAATTAGGATGTCTTCAACCGTTGTAAGTAATAACGTAGTGCCAACAAAATATAACAAATAAAACTACAATAAACTCATCATATATCGAGTTCGAGTAAAACATAAACTTTCTCGTTATAACCGAAACAGACGAATTATATACATTTATAAGTGGATGTTTAACTAGTAAATAGGCCTCGGTTAGATAAACATTAGAGGATGACCGTGTTGATTTTATCTCTACACACATATGATTAATGACGTATAACGACAGTACGGACAAGCAGGGTTGGTTGCAGGTTGCAGGGGCAGGTTGCCTCGAAAATTTGACAATTCACTTGTCCGTACTGTTGCTATTACTTCATTGATCATATATCTATCCCAGTAATACGCATCCAACGAACATTTGTTTGTTCGGATCCAGTACCACTATTGAACTATACCGTCAACATTACGTAGTAGATTCTATATATAGAAGATCCACTACCACTATTGGACCATACCGTCGATATTACGTACTAGATTATATATATAGAAGATCCAGTACCAATATTTGATCATACCGTCGATATTACGTACTAGTTAACATAATTATTAGGGCTTTCCACTAACTGGTGAAAAGACCTATTGTTTTTGTTATGTTTCTTATTCTTATTATTCTTCTTCCAATTTTGTGGGTTCGTAATCTTTTAAATTGTAAAAGCTAGACATACTGTCTAGTCACCTGTTTTTAGATACATATATGAAGTTGTCGATGCCGTTTTTTTAAGTAGGTCAAAAATCCAATATGGCCGCCATGACGTCATAAGTTAAAAACTTAAAAACGGCAATATCTGGAAAACCATTGATTGTACAGAGTTTGTACAATATTATTATTTGTAAAGAATTTCCATATCTAACTTTTTTCCATGCCATATTAATACAAAATATGTCAAATAAAAAAGCTCGCTGTGGGGTAAAAATTTCAAAATTTGATTTTTTTTTTTTTTTTTTTTGTCAATTTTGAATTTTCTTGAAATTTTCTTCTTCAGATCGATTCAGAATGTCCTTCCAATAAATTTAGTGTTTTCAGTTCTTCTGAAACGTTTGCCATTTCCGCTGTACGCGAAAATTTTCTTTGATCTTTGAAAAATGCCGACAAAAAGGAAAAACTCGTTCTAGATCAATATTGATGGGCTATATTTTATCAAATTGATACTGAGAAGATTTCCCCAGATGTCTTCTACCATTAAGTGACATTTACAAATTCATCGGAAAAACAAAATGGCCGCCATGACGTCATTTCCGATTTTACCTAAAATGCCGTAACTCAAGAACTGTTTAAGCTAGTGACCTCAGTTTTAATCATATTATGTAAATTTAAAAAAAAACACTTTTCACAAGTAAAAAACTGGGATCAAAGGTCAACTTCCGGTTTTCGGTAGGGGTCAAAGTTCAAAAGTGTTATTTTCAGTTACCAACTTTGACAAACTTGTTCTCAAGTTCTGCAAAGCCTTGAGTCTTCATATTTCATGTGTAAGTTGTCTGTTTAAATATCTATCAAGTTTGTTCATATAAATGACCTTGACCCATTTTCAAGGTCGCAGGGGTCAATTATGTAAAAATCGTTAAATGGTAATTTCTCCATTGTTAAGCTGTCCAAAGTTAAATATTCTGTGGACATTTCCTGTCGATTGATATAAGAGAAACGTACCTCAAAATTCAACTTGTTGTTTGCGGTAAGGGGTCAAAGTTGAAAAGTGCTATTAAGGGTTCTAATCTTTGAAAAACTTCTTCTCAAGTTCTGAAAGGCCTAGAGGCTCTATATTTCACATATATGAAGCATATGTAACTGGCAACAAAGTTTGACAATATAAATGACCTTGACCCACTTTCAAAATCGTTAAATGACAGTTTCTCAATTTCTAGAAGGCATACAATGATGAAAATTAATTTTAAACCTTCTGTGGAGACTTCCTGTTGATCGTCATAAGAAAAACTTACCTCAAAATGTCAACTTCCGGTTTCCGAAAGGGGTCAAAATTCAAATATACAAAATAGGGTACCAGTGTTCAACAATCTTCTTGTAAAGTTTCACAAGGTCTAGAAAACTAATATTGGGGATGTATTGATCATCAGATGTTACATTATAAGGCTTGCAAATATGAATAACCTTGACCGACATTCAAGTTCACAGGGGTCAAATAAGTTTGAACCTTTAAAAAGTGTATTTCTTCGTTATTATGTAGTTATATCTCCTTAACGTTTCAAGATTCAAAGTTCATCTTTGGATATGTTGTAGAGATTAACAAACAAGGAAACTTTCTAATGTATTGGTATCAGGATAGATGTCAACTTCCGGTCAACTTGTCGCCAAAGAAGTGAAAAGCCCGCAAAATTGTTAACAACAATTTCTAGTAATAACTAGTTGTAATTAGTGTATCAATAAATATATATGTATACATAAAATATATATATATATAAAGTTTTTTTTATCTTATTCGCTTAAGTACATCATAATAAATTAATGATAAAAATATCGATGAAACCATTTAAAGCGAAGTTCTAAAACCTAATCCACGAGCAAGTTCCTGCGCTTAAGCTTTTACAATCGACTCGCAAATCGGGAATCACCCAACTCGAATACTTAAATGATGTTAATGAAAAGCTTATACAAGCTTATTTGATTATAGATTTATTTTGAAGTTTATAAACAAGCAAATCCACACAGAAAAATGTATAGCAAATCAATCCATTACCGGAAATGAAATGTTCTGCACAAACGTTTTAAGCATAAGCGGGTATATTAACGTAATAAAACTCACCAAAAATTCAGTCGATGCATTGAGCATCGCTTGGTTAAAGACGGTCAATATCATGACGTAATGTGTTTCCGTATCCTCCATACTAGGATTGTATAGCACACAGTGATCGACATCAAATTGGTAGTCCGAAGAAAAACACTCTCCTGTCTCGATGCAGTTACAGTCTCCAGATAAGTCGCATTTGTCTCTCGTGCTCTACGGTAACAAACAGATGCATTTTATTCAACAATATTGAACATTTTTTTTTATAGATTATGAATATTATCAATATTTCTATATTTTTCTGCTCGTTATTTTAAATGTTGTAAGCATGACTAGTATGACTATTGTGATTATATTTACGACTCAAGATACTTCACTAAAAAGATAAACTACTCAATGATTGAAGTCCCCTGGTGCGGACATTTAAAAATACATCTATCTAATACGCCCTGCAGCGCTTGGTAAACAATTTTAATCCTTTTATTGGCTGGTATCACTGGGCGAGGTAAGTAGAGTGCGATTAAGAATTAATGTATGTAAATTTTACATTAACTATTTTGAACTAATAAATTACAAAAGTTGTTCCACCCGGACCCAAAACGACCTAACGATACGTATAAAGAGATGCATCAGTTTGGTATCAATGCTTTTTTTACAATAACAACGATTGAAATCGGTATTATTGAGCTTCGAAATCGTCTGTTAATTGCCAAGAAAAATGTGAACATGATTAAGTCTCGTGACAATGGAACGAAAGTGTAAGGTAAGCAATTGAATGGCCCTGTCACATTTTTGTTTCATTAACACTCTTTTAGAGCAAGTAGTTTGAAGACTCATAAACTCCCTATCCGTTTCGCCTCTTGTTGGATGATGCAATGAAGTTATGAAGATGATCAGCTCGTAACCCCTATATCACCAACCAACCAATAATCATTTCGGATCTTTCCCACGAATTTTCAGTGTTGGTATTTAAGAGAAACGTACTTCCCAATGATATGTAGTAATTGTAACATGTATAATGGCCGTTAAGGAAAGCTACAATATCTCACCAACAGCAGGTGGCAATTATAACAGGTGTCTTGGCAATGTTAACATACATCTTGGCAATGTCAACAGGTATCTTAGCAATGTTCACACGCATCTTTGCAATGTCAACATGCATCCTGGCAATGTTCACATGCATCTTGGCAACGTCAACAGGTATTTTGGCAATGTTAACAGGCACCTTTGCAATGTCAACAGGTATCTTGACAATGTTCACATGCATCATGGCAATGTTCACATGCATCTTTGCAATGTCAACAGGCATCTTGACAATGTTCACATGCATCATGACAATGTTCACATGCATCTTTGCAATGTCAACATGCATCCTGGTAATGTTCACATGCATCTTGGCAATGTGAACAGGTATCTTGGCAATGTTAACATGCACCTTGGCAATGTCAACAGGTATCTTGGCAATGTTAACAGGCACCTTGGCAATGTTAACAGGCACCTTGGCAATGTCAACAGGTATCTTGGCAATGCTCACATGCATCTTGGCAATGTCAACAGGTATCTTGGCCATGGTAACAGGCATTTTGGCAATGTCAACAGGCATCTTGGCAATGGTAACAGGCATCTTGGCAATGTCAACAGGTATCTTGGCAGTGTGAAAATGCATCTTGGCAATGTTCACATGCATCTTGGCAATGTTGACATGCATCTTGGCAATGTCAACATGCATCTTGGTAATGCTAACATGCATCTTGGCAATATTAACACTATAATGACAATGTTAACAGATAACTTGTCATTTCCAAGAACAAGCTGAACTCAAATACTCACGTTTACTAATTTTCCAGGAATTGGAATGTTATCACGGTATGGTATCTCTACATTCTGACGTGTTACATTGTCTTGGAAAGACCATTTTACCATAGCAACGCCGCTGTCACGATCAAGTGATCGGAACTTTAATCTACACGATAAAGAAAATATATATACTAATTGGTAATAGGATTTTGGCTACACTGTTAATTTCAACAACATTATCTTATTGGCAAAAGTACATAATAATGAACTCTAAACCATATTTCGTTTCTCTCCATTTCTTTATATCTTCTGATGTGTCTTTTCTTTCCACAACTGTAGAGAAGCGGACTTCATTGTGTGATATAAATGATTGATCCTTTGTATGGTGTTGTCTTTTAAACATAACATGATTATAAATCCATTTGAAATAAAATTTAAATGTTTATGGATAATTATCTCTCTTGTTGACGTTTTTCCATTATCAAATTTGAATAGTATATTTCCTAATCATAGATATGACTTTGAAATCTATTAATAAAAAATACCCGTACCTGCTGAAGAATTCATTCTCAAAATCCCGTTCAAATGAATCCACTCTGATAGAAGGAGCTGACGCGTCGAAACAAACCATTCCGTAGTTAGTGGCGTTGTTGCCGATGGTGTCGTAAGCTCGTACCCATGCGATGACGCAATCCCCTTGTGAAACACTCTCGTTGACGGCAATGGAATCTACCAACTTCAGGTCTCGCCAGTTCTCTGTTGGGGGTATCAGGTCAGCACCCTCTATAAAAGACTCCACCTTCACTTCAAATCTAAAACAAGAATCTTATATATAATCTCTTTATCGAAGTCATGTGTCGTCAACAATCGCCAGAATATTATTGCCTTGAAATCAATTTATAAAAGAATTTATAAATAAGCACGTGAAACATTTCACTACCTGACAATGCTGTCGATATTTGGTATCGCCTCACTGGTTCTATTAGCGTCAGGGTTCTTTAGCTCTTTACTGACCGCCTTCTCGACTGTATCCAGGTATTTGTTCTTCAGTTGAGGCGGGTAATCTCTAACTGCGGCCAAAAGTCCACCATCCCTATGAACCTTGTTGATAAAGTGCCCTTTCCAATTAATCTCGATAGCAGTCTTCCCTTGTGTGTTTGGAATCTGCCACTGGTAATTTGACTCCGGTGATGCACTTGCTACGTGCACTGGAGACGATGTTTCCAAAGAGATATTTGAAGAGGCGTCATACAAAAAAAGTTCACGGACATATCTGTAATTTTCAATAAAACAATGGGTTTTAGAAATTAAGTATAAAATGTTCATTACTTAGCATGGCTTGTGAAATGTAAAATTCAGAGCAAGATACAACGGATTAAACTTCACCATATAGCTGTTTCGTCCTTCGAGGGCTAGTCAGTGGTGTTAAGGGCCTAAGTTTTGACACCTAGAGTCTAAAGTGATCGAATGAAAAGTGATAATTAAAATAGGGAAGTGCTCTAGCCTTATAATTCAATAATTTTCGTAATTTTCATTTGTCTTATTAGTCATGTTCATGTCATCATGCATATGTTATGCGATATAAAAACCCAATTTTGGTTTTCAAGATTTTGAAAGACACATCTCGGACTTAAAATTCACACAATGTCTCGACTGTGAAGACGTTTTTGTTGAAACTGCATGTTTTTTGTTGTTGATACTGTATGTATTTAACTTATTTGTGGAAGCTCAGAAAAATATTGGTAGCAATAAAATGTATATAGCACCGAGTAAAGTGATATGTTATAGTGTTGTCCTTGAAATTAAGAATAACACATGGAGATCTGTATCTTGTGTCAATTATTGATAACTCATTGTTATATATGTGGTAATACCACCAAGTGAATATTCAGATTTAGTTTATCTTCAGTAATAGAATATGAAACAATTAGAACTCTACCTAGCGCTGTTAACTAGGTCCTTACCTAGTGGTGTAGACTGGTTCCTTACCTAGTGGTGTAGACTGGTTCCTTACCTAGTGGTGTAGACTGGGGTCTTACCTAGTGGTGTTGACAGGGCCCTAACCTAGTGGTGTTGACAGGGTCCTAACCTAGTGGTGTAGACTGGGTCCTAACCTAGTGGTGTTGACTGGTTCCTTACCTAGTGATGTTGACTGGTTCCTTACCTAGTGGTGTTGACAGGGTCCTAACCTAGTGGTGTTGACTGGGGTCTTACCTAGTGGTGTTGACAGGGCCCTAACCTAGTGGTGTTGACAGGGTCCTAACCTAGTGGTGTAGACTGGGTCCTTACCTAGTGGTGTTGACTGGTTCCTTACCTAGTGGTGTTGACAGGGCCCTAACCTAGTGGTGTTGACTGGTTCCTTACCTAGTGGTGTAGACTGGGGTCTTACCTAGTGGTGTTGACAGGGCCCTAACCTAGTGGTGTTGACAGGGTCCTAACCTAGTGGTGTAGACTGGGTCCTTACCTAGTGGTGTTGACTGGTTCCTTACCTAGTGGTGTTGACAGGGCCCTAACCTAGTGGTGTAGACTGGTTCCTTACCAAGTGGTGTTGACTCTGTTCTTACCTAGTGTTGTTAGCTCTATCCTTTACACCGAGGATTGCTGAGTACATTCCTGGTTCCTCTGGTTTGTATGTGTACTGATTTGTGGATGAAGATAATTTTGTTACAAATGTTGGTTTCATCGGAAACTTTTCCAACAAGAACACACCTCCACCACTCAGTTTGAACACCTCAAGAATGTACGAATCCAAATTAGAAAGGCTGTCACCCCATCCCGACCATTTCAGCGTAACTGGATCCTGTTAATAACACATACACAAAACAAAGGTTGTAATATGACATTTTAATTAGTGAAAGGATCTCCGTGCATTTTAAGTAATAAAATCTATTATGATATATCTATCTTAATTAAATTATTGACAAAATGTTAATAAGAAGTTGCTTACAATATTATATGCTGCCGAAGAAGCGATACATACGATTGAGAAATTCCATATCATAACACAGTAGAGGCTGTTGCAATAACCAGTTTTCCTCGACAAAGCAACTAATGAATACATGTACCCTAGTAATGTCCTTGACCACCTCTAATGGCGGCTTGTGATGGACAGTCCCACATGTATGATTATCCCGACAGTGGACTGGCGGTATGAAATCAAATAATACTCTGATTTCCTTAAAACCAGTCTTGCCATCAAAGTTGTCTTTAGATCCACCTTTAAGTCTCATGTATCCTCCACTTTCCACCTCAAACCTCGCGGTAAACCTTAATACAGAACAAGACAACAATCCGTAATTCTAGCAGCAGCCACACTTCAGCGGTAAATTTCTTCTGTCATTGACTATCGACTATATTATTCTTAGAATATCTGTAAATCGAGGAGCAAGTTTCTACTATCACTGATTATCGACTATATTGTTCTTAGAATATCTGTAAACCAAGGAGCAACTTACTACTATCATTGATTATCGACTATGTTAGTCTTAAAATATCTGTAAATCAAGGTGCAAATTTCTACTGTCACTGATTATCGACTATGTTAGTCTTAAAATATCTGTAAACCAAGGAGCAACTTACTACTATCATTGATTATCGACTATGTTAGTCTTAAAATATCTGTAAATCAAGGAGAAAAAACAGTACAAACGATTTCGGTATTAAATTGTAACTCAAACGCGCGAATTGAAATTTAATTTGTGATTCAATTGTCTTACATAAGGTAACATATCAGAAAGAGCTAAATTTAACTGGGATAAGTATAAGCGACTCTTTTTGCAGCTCTGCAAGACAAGGTTTCACGATTTCGGCCCTGACATCAATGACGAGCCCTAAAAGGTCTAAACGACGATATAATGCAGTTAAATTCATTTTCCGTCTCTACATTACTTTACTCTAACATTAGGATTGAAAGTACTAACAACAAATATATTGTTACATGTATGATACTCACACATCGCCATTGTCCAAGCGATATAAAAAGGACTTCACGGGTATAGAACAACTCAGTACACCGGATTCTACCCCTTGATTTGCTGTGCGACAATGAAGCTGTTCTGTTTGGTTTCCAACACCACTTGCTGAAAAGCATAAACATTATTGTAAACAGATGACATCAATGATGAAGAAATGGTATGTTTTGATATTCTATTTCTGTACGCAATATGAAGTTGGACGTCTTTGTTGTTACTTAGTTTGCTTGTTGGTTTCTTTCTTATATACCTTGAGAACGTAACATAAATTACTTGGATTATTTGTCAATATTTACCTAACGGATGTGATTGATGAAGTAGGAGACGCTTACTCTTCGGGAACACATGACCTTATTCTCCTTGTACTTTTTTCTGGAAATTTTGTTTATATTTCGCCCTAGTTTTGTTGAATTTCGTTAGGATTATGATGTTGATGTATTGATATTTTCGTGTTGTTTCACATCATGGTTCAACTTCAAAATCAACCGTGTATTTATATCTCTTTATGTAGAAATGATACATATAACATGACATATTTCTAGTTCCGACATTGTTTTTATAGGTAACTTTCAGGCTCTGGACATTGTAATTTGTTTGGTTTTGTCCTTGATATATAGAATATAATGAATGGAAATATGTAACGTGTAACATGTAATATGCTAACCTTTAGTAAGTGTGTAGGTGATACCGGCACTCAGGATTCCGAAATGGCTTGATAGCACATATGACGGCCTTTCAGGAAGCTTCCCAAGGTCCAGAAAGGCTTCCATTTCTAACTCGAATCTGTTGAACTTTCTGATGTTTGACCACCAAGTCAGAATGTTTGTGCCGTTGTCAGGAGCAAACAAACTCAACGAGTATATGATGTCTTTTCGGTCTTTGTCATAAAATTCAAATAAAGCATTCCCTGTCATCACCGACGGCCGTGGGATAACTAGTAAGTAAACAAATATTATAACATAAACAATGGGGCATCACTTATCTTATGTTTCTATAATAATATTCTAAGAACTTTTTCATTATTTAGTATTAATACTTGTTTAATTGTTACATATGTTACCACCACCTAGTAACACTTAGTCTACACACTATTATCATTACAGAGTTTACCACCTAGTAACACTTAGTCTACACACTATTATCATTACAGAGTATACCACCTAGTAACACTTAGTCTACACACTATTATCATTACAGAGTATACCACCTAGTAACACTTAGTCTACACACTGTTATCATTACAGAGTATACCACCTAGTAACACTTAGTCTACACACTGTTATCATTACAGAGTATACCACCTAGTAACACTTAGTCTACACACTGTTATCATTACAGAGTATACCACCTAGTAACACTTAGTCTACACACTGTTATCATTACAGAGTATACCACCTAGTAACACTTAGTCTACACACTGTTCATTCATTACCACTAGAGTATACCACCTAGTAACACTTAGTCTACACACTGTTATCATTACAGAGTATACCACCTAGTAACACTTAGTCTACACACTGTTATCATTACAGAGTATACCACCTAGTAACACTTAGTCTACACACTGTTATCATTACAGAGTATACCACCTAGTACACACTGTTATCATTACAGAGTATACCACCTAGTAACACTTAGTCTACACACTGTTATCATTACAGAGTATACCACCTAGTAACACTTAGTCTACACACTGTTATCATTACAGAGTATACCACCTAGTAACACTTAGTCTACACACTATTATCATTACAGAGTATACCACCTAGTAACACTTAGTCTACACACTGTTATCATTACAGAGTATACCACCTAGTAACACTTAGTCTACACACTGTTATCATTACAGAGTATACCACCTAGTAACACTTAGTCTACACACTGTTATCATTACAGAGTATACCACCTAGTAACTAGTCTACACACTGTTATCATTACAGAGTATACCACCTAGTAACACTTAGTCTACACACTGTTATCATTACAGAGTATACCACCTAGTAACACTTAGTCTACACACTGTTATCATTACAGAGTATACCACCTAGTAACACTTAGTCTACACACTGTTATCATTACAGAGTATACCACCTAGTAACAAGGACTAAGTCTACACACTGTTATCATTACAGAGTATACCACCTAGTAACACTTAGTCTACACACTGTTATCATTACAGAGTATACCACCTAGTAACACTTAGTCTACACACTGTTATCATTACAGAGTATACCACCTAGTAACAAGGACTAAATCTACACACAATTATCATTAGAGAGTATACCACCTAGTAACACTTAGTCTACACACTGTTATCATTACAGAGTATACCACCTAGTAACACTTAGTCTACACACTGTTATCATTACAGAGTATACCACCTAGTAACAAGGACTAAGTCTACACACTATTATCATTACAGAGTATACCACCTAGTAACACTTAGTCTACACACTGTTATCATTACAGAGTATACCACCTAGTAACACTTAGTCTACACACTGTTATCATTACAGAGTATACCACCTAGTAACACTTAGTCTACACACTGTTATCATTACAGAGTATACCACCTAGTAACACTTAGTCTACACACTGTTATCATTACAGAGTATACCACCTAGTAACACTTAGTCTACACACTGTTATCATTACAGAGTATACCACCTAGTAACACTTAGTCTACACACTGTTATCATTACAGAGTATACCACCTAGTAACACTTAGTCTACACACTGTTATCATTACAGAGTATACCACCTACACACTGTTAGTACACACTGTTATCATTACAGAGTATACCACCTAGTAACACTTAGTCTACACACTGTTATCATTACAGAGTATACCACCTAGTAACACTTAGTCTACACACTGTTATCATTACAGAGTATACCACCTACACACACACTACACACTGTTATCATTACAGAGTATACCACCTAGTAACACTTAGTCTACACACTGTTATCATTACAGAGTATACTAGTAACACTTAGTCTACACACTGTTATCATTACAGAGTATACCACCTAGTAACACTTAGTCTACACACTGTTATCATTACAGAGTATACCACCTAGTAACACTTAGTCTACACACTGTTATCATTACAGAGTATACCATTACAGAGTACACATACAGAGTATACCACCTAGTAACACTTAGTCTACACACTGTTATCATTACAGAGTATACCACCTAGTAACACTTAGTCTACACACTGTTATCTACAGAGTCTAACACACTACACACTGTTATCATTACAGAGTATACCACCTAGTAACACTTAGTCTACACACTGTTATCATTACAGAGTATACCACCTAGTAACACACTACACACTGTTATCATTACAGAGTATACACACCTAGTAACACTTAGTCTACACACTGTTATCATTACAGAGTATACCACCTAGTAACACTTAGTCTACACACTGTTATCATTACAGAGTATACCACCTAGTAACAAGGACTAAGTCTACACACTATTATCATTACAGAGTATACCACCTAGTAACACTTAGTCTACACACTGTCTACACACTATTATCATTACAGAGTATACCACCTAGTAACACTTAGTCTACACACTGTTATCATTACAGAGTATACCACCTAGTAACACTTAGTCTACACACTGTTATCATTACAGAGTATACCACCTAGTAACACTTAGTCTACACACTGTTATCATTACAGAGTATACCACCTAGTAACACTTAGTCTACACACTGTTATCATTACAGAGTATACCACCTAGTAACAAGTAACACTTAGTCTACACACTGTTATCATTACAGAGTATACCACCTAGTCTACACACTGTTATCATTACAGAGTATACCACCTAGTAACACTTAGTCTACACACACTGTTATCATTACAGAGTATACCACCTAGTAACACTAGTTATCATTACAGAGTATACCACCTAGTAACACTTAGTCTACACACTGTTATCATTACAGAGTATACCACCTAGTAACACTTAGTCTACACACTGTTATCATTACAGAGTATACCACCTAGTAACACTTAGTCTACACACTGTTATCATTACAGAGTATACCACCTAGTAACACTTAGTCTACACACTGTTATCATTACAGAGTATACCACCTAGTAACACTTAGTCTACACTATTATCATTACAGAGTATACCACCTAGTAACAAGGACTAAGTCTACACACTATTATCATTACAGAGTTTACCACCTAGTAACACTTAGTCTACACACTATTATCATTACAGAGTATACCACCTAGTAACACTTAGTCTTGCACTGTTATCATTACAAGAGTATACTACACACTGTTATCATTAGTAACACCTAGTCTACACACTGTTATCATTACAGAGTATAACACTTAGTCTACACACTATTATCATTACAGAGTTTACCACCTAGTAACACTTAGTCTACACACTATTATCATTACAGAGTATACCACCTAGTAACAAGGACTAAGACTACACACTATTATCATTACAGAGTATACCACCTAGTAACACTTAGTCTACACACTGTTATCATTACAGAGTATACCACCTAGTAACACTTAGTCTACACACTGTTATCATTACAGAGTATACCACCTAGTAACACTTAGTCTACACACTGTTATCATTACAGAGTATACCACCTAGTAACACTTAGTCTACACACTGTTATCATTCCAGAGTATACCACCTGTTATCATTACAGAGTATACCACCTAGTAACACTTAGTCTACACACTGTTATCATTACAGAGTATACCACCTAGTAACACTTAGTCTACACACTGTTATCATTACAGAGTATACCACCTAGTAACACTTAGTCTACACACTGTTATCATTACAGAGTATACCACCTAGTAACAAGGACTAAGACTACACACTATTATCATTACAGAGTATACCACCTAGTAACACTAAGTCTACACACTGTTATCATTACAGAGTATACCACCTAGTAACACTAAGTCTACACACTGTTATCATTACAGAGTATACCCCCTAGTACGACCGACTAAGTCTACACACTGTTATCATTACACAGTATACCACCTAGTAACACTTAGTCTACACACTGTTATCATTACAGAGTATACCACCTAGTAACACTTAGTCTACACACTGTTATCATTACAGAGTATACCACCTAGTAACACTTAGTCTACACACTGTTATCATTACAGAGTATACCACCTAGTAACACTTAGTCTACACACTGTTATCATTACAGAGTATACCACCTAGTAACACTTAGTCTACACACTGTTATCATTACAGAGTATACCACCTAGTAACACTTAGTCTACACACTGTTATCATTACAGAGTATACCACCTAGTAACAATTAGTCTACACACTGTTATCATTACAGAGTATACACACCTAGTAACACTTAGTCTACACACTGTTATCATTACAGAGTACACACACCTAGTAACACTTAGTCTACACACTGTTATCATTACAGAGTATACCACCTACACACTGTTATAACACTTAGTCTACACACTGTTATCATTACAGAGTATACCACCTAGTAACACTTAGTCTACACACTGTTATCATTACAGAGTATACCACCTAGTAACACTTAGTCTACACACTGTTATCATTACAGAGTATACCACCTAGTAACACTTAGTCTACACACTGTTATCATTACAGAGTATACCACCTAGTAACACTTAGTCTACACACTGTTATCATTACAGAGTATACCACCTAGTAACACTTAGTCTACACACTGTTATCATTACAGAGTATACCACCTAGTAGTAACACTTAGTCTACAACACTTAGTCTACACACTGTTATCATTACAGAGTATACCACCTAGTAACACTTAGTCTACACACTATTATCATTACAGAGTATACCACCTAGTAACAAGGACTAAATCTACACACTATTATCATTACAGAGTATACCACCTAGTAACACTAAGCCTACACACAATTATCATTACAGAGTATACCACCTAGTAACACTTAGTCTACACACTATTATCATCACAGAGATGTACCACTCACACACTACTGATAATTATAAACACTCAGCGACAAACACGCAGTCTAAAATCTTAATCATTACAGAGAAATCCACTAACATGCTTTTCATTATTATAGACTCTCAATAACAATAAAGCTGTATTACTATAGGTTATTTCTTAAATACAAACTGCGTCAGACTACATTTAAACTTATTCATATTTCCTTCTTGTATGCAGCAAATAGAAAACAAATTAAACAGTTACCATGCCGTTCACAAAACGTTATTTAATTATAATTAAATTCCTTCACTTTACTCGAGATAAATCTATTTGTATCGTATATATAAAAATAATACTAACTAAAGCCGTTGTTTCTCAATCATTTGCATTCTTACGAGTAAACAATATATCATTATAAAAAAAACATGTTTGATTGCTTTAAACTTACTTTCCTGACATTTTTTGCTGTTGGCATGTGTCTTCCCAAAGGCTGCCGCACATTGACAATTACTGGGGTAGGAACATATCCCAGGATAACATGGGAACCGGGAAGAACATTGCGCTTTACAAAAGATAGATACAAGCTTGTTAGTGCGTTAGAACCAAGATACAACAAATACAACTGACATCAAAATACACACACTAAAACTTGTGGGGCAAGCAACGTCTAAGAGTAGATGAAGATAAGTTTCTATGGCAAGTTCATTTAACGTTTAACCCTAGCAGATTATCACGACTAGAAATAATGTACTTTATGATGTATGAAGGTCCGATGGCGAATATTTCAGAATTCTAACCTTTGTTATTGACCACACCCATCGTATATACACACTAGAATTGATTTACATCACGAGGGCGTCGATGAAGCAGAAAACGCTTACTTTTCCGGAACACCTAGTGTTATTCTCCTCGTACTTTTTCATGTGTCACCATGTAAATCTTTCTTTAGTTAAATTTAGCCCTAGTGTTATGGAATATGAGTTTGAATTATGATTTCGTGACATGTTGGTATTTCGTTGATGTCTCTTGTCATGTTTTCTTGAAAGGTCAGATTTCAGGAAGTAATTTGTAGCAATATGTTGCTTCATTGCTTTTTCCGTTATAATTGGTATGCTATTCCTATTTTTCCTGAATAACATGTATTTTTTGTTGACGTAGTGATTTGGTCAATAACGACAACAATGTTAAAAATATATATATAAAAAAAACAAAAAAAAAAAAAAAAAAAAAACCTTCGTAGTTATATTCCAACAAACGTTTGCACAAATTATCACCACAACCATTGATAATAGATACACTCCGACTTGATGGATCACTTTCCGTTGAGTTCTACTATGAAAATCACACTTTGTTTTCAGCAACAACCTCTTTTCTGGTTATCAAAACTATCCTTTAATATTTCTCTGTCGAATCAGAAAGTTATAAAGCTTTTCATAAGAAGGTTACCATTGGTTCCTAGATTTCTCCTTCTGTTTTTAAGCACTTTTTCAAAACATCATCCCCAAAAGATGTATTTTAGAAATTTCGACTTCTTGCATCCTGAAGGGGCTCTGCTGAATGTGTGATTCTCATTGAGATGTTTTTAATGTATCTGATATCGATATTTGATTCTTCTGTGTTACAGCTGATACTCCCGAAAGACAAGGAATTTGTTGTAAATGAAACAAAGCAACCGCCCAGCAACTGCATTATCACAGCCAAGACACCGATTTGTAAAATAAAACTTTTTAACACCACTTCCCTTCTTTTAAATGGGACAACTCTTACAACGTTAATCGTAACTATTTAATACAGTCACATGATATATTATCCTAACTGACAATTAATTGATTAAATTACTCTTGGCTAGATACAGTAGAGCCAAACAATGAAGTAAACTACATCTTACAGCTGTTTTGTCCTTCTAGGATTCGACAGTGATGCTACATCATACAGCTGTTTTGTCCTTCTAGGATTCGACAGTGATGCTACATCATACAGCTGTTTTGTCCTTCTAGGATTTGACAGTGATGCTACATCATACAGCTGTTTTGTCCTTCTAGGATTCGACAGTGATGCTACATCAGACAGCTGTTTCGTCCTTCTAGGATTCGACAGTGATGCTACATCATACAGCTGTTTCGTCCTTCTAGGATTCGACAGTGATGCTACATCATACAGCTGTTTTGTCCTTCTAGGATTTGACAGTAATGCTACATCATACAGCTGTTTTGTCCTTCTAGGATTCGACAGTGATGCTACATCAGACAGCTGTTTCGTCCTTCTAGGATTTGACAGTGATGCTACATCATACAGCTGTTTTGTCCTTCTAGGATTCGACAGTGATGCTACATCATACAGCTGTTTTGTCCTTCTAGGATTCGACAGTGATGCTACATCATACAGCTGTTTTGTCCTTCTAGGATTCGACAGTGATGCTACATCATACAGCTTTTTTGTCCTTCTAGGATTCGACAGTGATGCTACAACATACAGCTGTTTTGTCCTTCTAGGAATCGACAGTAATGCTAAATCATACAGCTGTTTTGTCCTTCTAGGATTCGACAGTGATGCTACATCATACAGCTGTTTCGTCCTTCTAGGATTCGACAGTGATGCTACATCATACAGCTGTTTTGTCCTTCTAGGATTTGACAGTAATGCTACATCATACAGCTGTTTTGTCCTTCTAGGATTCGACAGTGATGCTACATCATACAGCTGTTTTGTCCTTCTAGGATTTGACAGTGATGCTACATCATACAGCTGTTTTGTCCTTCTAGGATTCGACAGTGATGCTACATCATACAGCTGTTTTGTCCTTCTAGGATTTGACAGTGATGCTACATCATACAGCTGTTTTGTCCTTCTAGGATTCGACAGTGATGCTACATCATACAGCTGTTTTGTCCTTCTAGGATTTGACAGTGATGCTACATCATACAGCTGTTTTGTCCTTCTAGGATTCGACAGTGATGCTACATCATACAGCTGTTTCGTCCTTCTAGGATTCGACAGTGATGCTACATCATACAGCTGTTTCGTCCTTCTAGGATTCGATAGTGATGCTAGGGTCCTAAAGTTTGAAATTTAAAAACGACCGAGGAGAACCAATATTGACATATTATGAAATATCAAAATCTAGACGGGAAGGAACAGAAGCATCATAATTGAATGAATACAGCAATATATATTTATCTGATAATTACAAAACAAGTACATGACTTTGTATATAGATTACAGAATTATAATAAGTTATCGATATACTATTTTTTATAAAGTACCTTCAAAAGAAAATTAATTTCATAAGCAATGTTAACAATCAATTGATGGGCAAAAATATATGTATAGTTTGTTTTGTTATGTTTGTTTTTTTTAATTGGATACGATTTGGTAAGCATATATTGATCCGCTTTGGAGATATTAACAAATGTATTCCCTGACTATATATAAAGCTCCACAGTGACAGCTATATCATTGGACCAAATACTTTGAAAAGCTTTATTGATCTTTTTTATTGAATTTCCTTATGTTTTAAGCTAACCCTTATCAAAGCAGGATAAGATTGTAGAATTGGCTATTAATCGCTGATAATAATGCCAAGACACAGCATGTCAACTAGTCAGCAGATTTTACTCCTTCCTGCATTTCATATGCTCGTGTGGTATAGCATGTGCATCGGCTTTTATTAATGTATTTATCCTGATAAGTGCGTTCCCCTGATATGTGTTTAGAGACTGATAAAATTGTGTTGTTGTAAGTAGATCAACATTGGTACATCTATCCACTGCTTGCACTATATCACTGAAATTACCGATACTGACACTTCGTCAGCATATGTGTAACAGACGATAATTTCTTTTCACATCCTGTAATTTTTTTCCAGAATAACAGACATTTTTGTTATTTTCGCATCCTTTTTCTCATGTTTTAATTTATTTTAACGAGCTTAGAAGTGCATATCTTATTCGTCACTTGCAATCTGTCTTTATCAGACCGTTGCAGAGAGTAGTGTGATACTTCTGACATGATCGCATATATCCGTCCTTGAAGCGTGCGGATGCATCACATAGCTTACTCACATGTGTACATGTAAGAAACATACTATCAAATAGGGAACGTAAAAGCTAACGTAAATTTGTATCAAAGTGAAATAAAATTTATTTCATGAAATAAATACATTTGTGTTAGATGGTTACTTTATATATTCATGTATATATATATATATGTATAATTGTCATAATCCTACAGATGTTCTTCACATTATAATGTTACGTAAGTTGGCTCTTGCATGATTTTGTTATTTGGAATAAGATCTTGAACTCTGACCACCTGGTGACCATCTGTTACCCTATGTAGTTTGTATCTCTTGTTATTTGGATGTTATGTGTGCGCACGTGTTAGCTAAGAGGGCCGTGTAGGGCAACTCGCTATGCGGTCACGGTTTTAGCTTGACCAGTCAGAGGGGCTGTTCACGTGACCAGCGGCAGTAGCCGTGATGCTATGCGGTCAGGGCCTGGATTGACCAATCAGCGAGGCGCGCACCTCTTCGTGATTTTGACCACGTCATATTTTCATCACTCCTCATAATTTTTCTGCTGATGTGATAACGTTTAATATCTTTCGAAGTCCCACCCATGCCACACTCCCACATTTTGTCTTGAGCCAGCTTATATATCCATGGTTTTTTTTTAATTCAAACTTATGTTTGTATCCCGATAATTTGTACCCCATCTTTTTGTTGTACATATAGACTGAAGTTAATGTCATTCAGATCTATATATTATATAACAACAGTGATTGATATTATGGTTGTATTTGAAATGTTCCTGTCATTTAATAAATGACCATTTGACAACATTTCTTTTCCCTGTTGTTTTTTGTTTATAAGACATGTACAACAAATAACAAGCTGCAGTCTCTGAGCTGGGTTACCATGCTAACACAGAAAGTGTTATTTAATGAAATGTTTTGTCTCATTAAAGACAGTGACGGTAGGTCACAAGGACAGATTATAGGTTTAAAATTTTAAGCCTATCAATGTCAACTTCATTTCATCAAAGTTGTACTATAAATACGGTTGGCAGGAGAAAACAAGAAACAAATATAATCCATCAGTCTGGTTAACTTATTAGTATATAACGAAACTTATGATTCAAAGCTGTTGTAACTAAAGGACGAAGAAACATCCAACACGTTTATAACACTATAAAACACCATTGGACTTACATTTAAAAAAAAAGAATAATACTCACGTGTTCCACAGTTCTTTCCTGTGTACGCTGAACCACAGTTACAATGTGAGGGGCCAACACAAGTGCCCATTCCACACCCATCAGGACAATACGCTGAAAAAAGTAATGTAATTGCTTCTAGTAAGATATTTATATATGTGTGTGTGTGTGTGCAATGTCGCAACTATCAACCGAATTTCGTTGGCACAGAAGGATAAATCCTTAAATATTACACACACTTTATGATTAGTACTCGCAGACACGTCAGGACAAATTAATAAAAATAATGATGATGATGATGATGATGATGATGATGATGATGATGATGATGATGATGATGATGCCTATGAATTTAATCAAAGTTGCGAAAATTGACAAAACAAATTAACCTACACATAATTAGTAAAATACAACCGTAAATATTTCCGGGACGTCAATGTATAAAAAAGACAATGTTTATTTAGGTAAAATTAGGATTACATATAATCAAACCGATGCACCCGACACCGTTAACAAGCAGATTTTTTTTTCAATTCAGAGTTGTTGCGTTAGACGTCCTAATATGATAAAAACAGTCAGGATTGCCCGTTAATGTAAGATTACGTCATTGTATTGTCATGTCTAGCGCCTCTTCCTTTTCTACCGTGCAGAGTTTTGCTGGCGTCGTATGAGCGTACACAAAACACCCTATATATATACGTGTCTTGCTAGATTAGGTAGAAAGTACCGGGGAAAACTGTGTAATACAAAACAACCCAACAATCCTTTGTCGATCCTCTGATAAAATCCACACAGGATATCTATAAATATCTTATAGAAATCCCATCAATAGTCTACATTAACAATAGCTTGGAGTTGTACCGATATTTTTTTCACATTGTAATCGCCTCTCCATATTGCATGAAGGATGTTTTCCTTCCGAAATTTTTTTCTTAAGTCTTCTTTGGCATTTTTGTCGACTTTTCATTTAAGGCTTTGCATTATCTCCCTTTGATTAGACATACCGTAGTATTTAGAAATGGTAGGGTGTCCTACTGGGGTTCTATGGTAATCAGTTCAAAACTATCACTAAGAGACTTACACCGACATGCCGCAGTTTTCTGTAAACGCACACAACACATGGAATCACTCCGGATTTATATACAGACTAAAATTACACTAGCTGTTGCCAGGACAGAAAATAAACATAAAACCCAAGAAAAAAAGAAAACCCTTAAACATATGGGTTTACCATGATGATATGTTTTTATTAAATACTCACGTTTACATCGTCCACCGGAGCTTTGGTACCCAGTACAGCAGTACTCTTTTCTGTGGTATGTCTTTATCGAACGAGTTTCCCAAAACCAGCACCTTTTATCACGAAAATATTTGATAAATCTGACGGTTCTGATTTTAACAGAGATAAGCTTAAATGAGCAACAGTTAATTCAATTTAGAAAACTATACCTGAATCGCTTACTACTGACATTGACATAAAGATATCTATTAGTTCGAACATTAAAAAGTCACTATATAAACATGCGGTAATGTTTTTACTCCATATTATTGATATAGTTATACAGATTCAAATCGAGTGAATGCGTTAAAGCAGTGCATTCAAGTCGTCGATTAAGAGACTGTAATAAATCCCACAACAGAATACATTGTAGATTGAAAAAACGAAAAGTCTTACCCGAGAAACCAGAAGCAGCAGTATTTCGTGCTACGGGTACGGACAGTAGTCCTTGAGCACACATTAGGCCTGTAGAGAAAAAAACGTATCAACAACGATGAAAATAAGTGAAGGCTTTACAATACATATGACGTAAATTCGATAATAGAATATATGTTGCAGAGGTTCTCAGTCTTACAAACAATATGACTCTTTAGTAAATGAGGTAAAAGGTGCGTTATTGAAAATAAAACAGTTATACAAGATTACCTCGTAAAAAAGACAGAAACGTTCAATACATCCTTATGCTATAAAGAGTTCATGACAAAAGTATAATCTTTTGGTCGTATGACAACATCAAAGCGAATACTGATAGAAGTGTAACAAAGCCTGATGTCAAGAAATGCTAATAAAATGCAGTTCAATGCAGATATTTTTTCGTCGTTGGAAGATTATGAGTTGGTAATGCACGACTGATTTTGAAAAGCAATCATTGCCACCCCACAATGAATTTTTTTTTCATTTCAAGAACAATAAGAAGTTCCTTTTATATCATATTACAATCAAATCTATTTGTTCTCGTTGAGGTTACAATGACGTCATAAATATATCCTCTGATTAATTCTTAATTCATCTAGGAATTGCCAGTTTGAATCCAACCGTCTTTTGCTGTTTAAAGTGCTTATGAGAAGAAATAAGTGCCCTATCCTGGCGGTCTATTCACAGGGCAAATATGATCACGTTCTTTAAGTAACTACTGACATAAATGATTTGCCGAAAAAAAGAAAATATGTAATAATCAATTTCGTTTTTGCAGTTAAAGTAAAAATCAAACACGAACGGTCAGTATAAACTTACCCGCTTAAAGCATAGGTTACTTTAGCCAAGATTGCCAGAGCAAGGCAAACTGTGGCTAGTCTCATCTTGTGAGTTAAACAGAAGCGCTGTTTGAACACCAATCAAAGTGTGCAGGTCAGTCGAAATACGGTTAGAGCAGCAATGAACGACTGAACGTCAGTGAAAACGCAGCCGACGTAACAATGACAGACTGCAGTCTGTTGCCTCCTTTTAAGATTTTTTTACTTGATAAGTCACATGATAAAGTTTCCCTGTTCCCTAAGTGCTTTCCTTAAACTCTCGACCGCAATTCAGATATCAGTATGCGTGCTATAAAAGTGAAACCGGACACATAAACCGATGGATTTTCAGTGAGTTTTCCATTTTAAACCTTGGTTTATAAAACACCTTTGTCAAGAATGTACAAATTATGACAACCTCCATATAGATGAATTAATTTAAACAACAACCGGCATTTCAGATAAACTTCTAGTGTTATGAATACAGTTTGCAGACAAAATGGCTTACAACGGTGTTTTTAATATCTTTAAGGTTAGTAGTTGGTCATGTATAGCTTTCATCGTAATTGGATGGTGACGATAGTACACGCAAGTGAATGGTATTTTCACACTTTTGGCGACATCATTCTGTGCTGATACAGTAAATGTCTATTGATGAATAGTAACATTGCATTATACAGTATTCTGTTGGTGTGCCCTACTTCATCACATATTCTAGATTTTCGGAAACATGAGAAGCATGAAAAATAAGAGGTCTTTGTTACTTGTTTTGATAAGTTTCTTCATAAATTCAGCCTAATTGGAAAACAAGAATGGGTCAATGTTCGCTTCCATAGATATGCCAACAATTCTTTTGGAAGATCTAACCGCCGCACTTGAGTACATTGTCAACCAGAAATTCGATTAACCTTATAATATTACCCTCCTTTGTACGGGACTTATTTCTCACGAAATCAGCTTACACAAAACTACATTTTTGAGGCGACTGAGAAAATACAAATTGGTTGAAACGAGGGGAAAAAGAAAAAAATGGGGAGGTGTACTTACTTACAAGTTACTCAAAAATTCAATTAATTTCTTAATTTTCAATATCTATTTATTTAACGGGTATTGCGTCCACTACATGTAACACGACCTTTCATTCTTTCAGCCGATGTTTATACTAAAATAAGATGCTATGTAGGTTAGATAATGTCGAATCTTTAGCAAGTGACTGAACATCTACGTGATTGCAGATAATTAGCAGTTAGTGACATGTCAAAAGGATATTTATTGGCTGTTAATTCTGCTTTGAAAGTCCTCTCTTTTCAGTGCCTTTTCTGTACTTGAACTTTTTCATTAACCGTTGGCTAACATTACCCAAGCTGGGAATAAGTGAACAGCAGGGTCAAGTTGCAATGAGCAAATCGAATGTCACTGGCATGTTACTGTTCTATCCTGCTTTTTCTCTTCCGTTTCAATACGATTGGATTAGTACCTATTTCTATGAGTATCACAAACTTGAAAATGTATCCTGGTATTAGATTCTTAATAGCAAAACTGTATAGGCATTGATTAAGGAAGACTACAGATTATGTATTATTGTAGCTGGTAGATACTGTTAGTTGACATTTCAGCGATGGTGTTCGGAGAACCTCCAGTATCTGTGTGTATTCTGAATTGTGCCACGAGTTTAGCCATTTCCTGCATGTTCCTTCTTTCCATTTCAAAATATTTTATTGTTATTTTCCAAACAAATGCTACAGAATTAGCATATGAAAACCTCTCCATGCTATTATAAGCAATTATAAACATCAGTCAGGTAATGAATTAAAAATGTGAAAGCTATTGGAATATTAGAGAAATATTTATGACAGAATAGATACTACCAGTTTGGGTGGTAATTATGTTACTTCATGATTCTGACAAGAATAAGTTCAAAAGGGACCTTGAATGTAATGCTACACAAATCCTTTCGAATGGTTGGTACGGTCAGAATATATAAATGTACATGTATTGAATGTTCTACTGAAATTAACAGATATATGAAATTTGCAACATCTATTGCAAAATGGCACTTGGACACATCTCAACACAGTGTTTTCTTTCGATAATTTTCTTGATTATTCTTATTCGCCGCAGAGGTTTCAAAATGTTTTAAGTCCTTGGACGAAACCGCTATAGATTTTAATTCATTGTGTGGCTCTACTGTATTTGATTGTATCAAACTGTACCATTTGCTTAACTCCTTTTTAAATCTTGGACAGAAATAACACATAAACAAAAATGTATCGTAGTAACGAATGCAACTGCTGTACACACGAATTCAAAATAAAGACTGTTATCTCAGTGTTACAGTTTTAGGATATATCGTCTACAAGGTGTATGTAATATTAAAGTGGGATGGACAATATCATCCTATATAGTGTTTGCTAACATCTATTTATCATAAAACAGGAAGAAAACTAGGCAGGTTTAAAGTCCACAACCACCAGATTAGTATCCTAAGTGTTCGTGTTTGTTTACAAATGACAAATGACATTTCAGTCGCAGTCAACTTACAAGTTTCGGTCAACACTGTCAGGTAATTGTAAGTTAACCCTATTTAAGACATTGATCAAAAGAACACGATCTTAATCTTTCCAGGATGTAAAATCTAAAATCATGATATTTATTGAAATTTGCTTTGAAGTTTTTTCTATCTACTACACAGTCAAATACTAAAGCATTCGGAAAATGTTTCTCTACTTGGCAATGATTGCTGATATACAGAGGCGACACATTTTGACATTTCTTTCAATCACTTTTGATATTCCTCTATTGACTTCTTGGTCGCTAATTAGTCCTAGAAGGACGAAACAGCTGTATGTTTGTGTCTACTAGGTATGTAGGTGTGTTTGTGTTTAGCAGCTTGGTTATTCCAATAACGGACCCGTCATCCCACATTTCATGATTTCCGGTCTGTGCTTGTGTAAAACAAAAGTTAAATATTGAGTATACATGTTTGAGAAAAGGCTGTGCGTGTAGAAATAAAATGATAACGAAATTGACACGGACGGATGTTGTAATGATATCAAGTGTTCGGTACTTTCATACACCATAGATGTCCTGACTCTGCTAGCTAAGGACACTTAAGGACACGTGATCCTTAGTGCACGTAAGTATCGTCGTAATGAAAAATCAACAAGTGTTTTCATTTTTCATTTTAAATATCTTAATATTACACAGAATAACGTTTGCTAATATACCACTTACCAGGAACACAGTACAGATAGTTTGAACCCTAGTTTCAAAACACATTAAACAATATCCACTAATTATCAAGTTCTATTCATCGGAACAAACAAATAAGGTTGCAGGCAGAATGAAAGTGTGTTGTCTAATATGATGTAAACACTATTTCTGCATAAATAACTAGGTTCAGCGTATCTATACCGGGTACAGTTATGCACACATAGCCTTCTTAGAAATTTCAACATATATATAATCTTTATACATCATATGTATCTTCCACTCGTGTCAGTGTATAAGTATTCATTAAAAATGATTATCTGGTATATCAACTCACAAGGCCTTCGGGAAATATGGCAGCTTTGCGACTTGGTTCTCGCCAATTTTGTTCTGAAATTCTTTGAAACAGGTTACGTTTACTGACACATTTATTGATAATTGTTGAATCTATTCTCTTAATGACATCAATTCCAGCGACTTTATAAACTGATATCGTTTCTTTGTTTGGCCATGTGTCGTTGATGCTAAAAAAAAAGAAAAACCACAAGTCTGGCGGAAATATGACACAGACTCACAAGGGAGTCACGCAGCCCACATGGGAAATACGATGAATTATTTCCTTGTAACATCTGCTTTTCAACCAACCAGTGACACTGTTAAATAGATGAGGGACAGCTTAAGCAAGAAACGTACATTGGGCGGTACCAACAACCCTGATCTTGCACGTCATCCTGATTTTTGGAAAGCATGGAATAGGTCGTCATAGTTAACAAGAATCATGTTAATGGCATTTGACATTAAACGTATACCGTTAGAAAAGTTTCATTGTCTTGGCATGTGCTATGTTTTTTACTGATTATAAATATTGAGCATTGACAATGAGTACGCGTGGTGACCTTTACTTCAAAGGTATTAAGTTCAGAATTACAGGAATTTTAGAAAACATTTATGTAGAAATGGCGTGACGTCTTAAACTTATATTCAAACTTATGTAACGCACTGATACTGACATAAAACTTCTATAATTATAAAACAAACAAACTAAAAATAAAAACAAAACAAAAGGCAAAACAACAACAAAAAAAGGCATGAAAAATACCAACATTGCAATAAAAGCATAAACTGATTCAATAAGAATGCGGCAAAACATTAACAAACAAATTATAAAAAAATAAGACCAGTTGTCCCGGAAGAATAAGCGTCTTCTGTTTCATTGACGACACCAGCCATGTAACACAAAAGTTACTTTATCTAAAGTCGCATATGGAAAAATCAAAGAACATCAGCTCATGTGAGCTTTTATTACAAACATATGTATGGAAATATAAAATAAGTGTAGCAAAACAACACTATGTAAGATCACAGTGCAGCAAGCCCAGATTATGGCCAATCTAAGACAATGGTTTTAACCACAAACTTTTGTATATCACGCTTATGACGTTGCAGATGCGAGCTTAAACAAAAACTAAATGATTTTCGTTTGAATAGTGTCACAGGTCAGAATATACACATTTACCTGACATGTCTTTATAGAGAAAATTATATAACGAATGATGTTTATAGAATTTATCAGTTAGTGAATGTCCCCATCTGGTTCTAAACATTCATATCGACCGGTTCTGATGTTTCTTAGCTTTCAACAATCCGTATGATCACCCATAGAAAGACGAAACAGCTGAATGATGCAGTTAAATGTACTCTGGCTATGTATTGAAAAATGCTTTTCACGGGTATGTCTTGTATAAACTTATAATAAAAGTCGAACATTGACCAAGTATCACTTTTAATAATAATAATGTCAACCTGTGAAATAATAAGAAATGGCACCCTGAAATTATATTTTGAAAGGCTAATGTTTAACAACTGCAGGTGTAGCTGTGCCTTATACCAGTCAAAGGGAAGTAAATCTTGTTTTCAGTCCCTGTTCCGTCAAATGAAATCTCTTTTTGAAACCCACCAGGTACTGTTTTCAAAATAATGACATTGCTTTAAACATCATTTGGTTTATCATCCAATTACCAAGTTGAATACTGTGAAATGTATTTACACAAAATACGTTCACATGGATGTGTGAAATATTTTACTGCCCATTGGTTTGATTAACACGCAGTTTAAATATTTAAAAAGTAGAGAATCATGTCAGAAGACAAGCGCACAAGTCACCGATACAATGTAATTATTTAGATTCTCACAAGATCACATGCTATAGCCAAAAGTCATGTTCAACTAAAGTCTCTGATATAGTTTGACATCAATTTGTTTGCTATGGTATAAACCTTGTAACTCTTTTGAGCATGTGCAAATTAAGACGACGAGAAACTGGCAAATAAAACAATGCAAAGTTTTTCATCTTACGTCCCATATCTAAAAAGCAAAGACCATCAGCTCAGGCGAAACAAAAATGTGTATGGAAATATCAAATCATTTTAGCAAAGCAACAATAAGTATGATCACAGATTAGCAATATCGAGAGTATGACCAGCCTTAGACAGAGGTTTCAGTCCCAAAGACTGTATATGTGGACAGGTCACACTAAGTATAGGTTAGAAGCTGGAAATTATGTCATGGCTGATTGGAAACTTCTCACATCAAACAAACAGAAAGAAACTTACCTTACTGCTTATTTCAAACCTCTCACCAGGAATAAGCGTGGGATAAGAAATCGCTTGCTGTCACAGTCCACTGCACACCTCTCCCTATGAATAAGTATGGGGTAAGAAATCACTTGCTTTCACAGTCCATTGCACACCTCTCACTATGAATAAGTGTGGGATAAGAAATCACTTTCTGTCACAGTTTACTGCACACCTCTCGCTATGAATAAGTGTGGGGTAAGATATCGCTTGTTGTCACAGTCCACTGCACACCTCTCACTGTGAATAAGTATGGGGTAAGAAATCTCTTGCTTTCACAGTCCATTGCACACCTCTCACTGTGAATAAGTGGGGGGTAAGATATCGCTTGTTGTCACAGTCCACTGCACACCTCTCACTGTGAATAAGTATGGGGTAAGAAATCTCTTGCTTTCACAGTCCATTGCACACCTCTCACTATGAATAAGTGTGGGGTAAGAAATCACTTTCTGTCACAGTTTACTGCACACCTCTCGCTATGAATAAGTGTGGGGTAAGATATCGCTTGTTGTCACAGTCCACTGCACACCTCTCACTATGAATAAGTGTGGGGTAAGAAATCACTTTCTGTCACAGTTTACTGCACACCTCTCACTATGAATAAGTGGGGGTAAGATATCGCTTGTTGTCACAGTCCACTGCACACCTCTCACTGTGAATAAGTGTGGGGTAAGAAATCACTTTCTGTCACAGTCCATTGCACACCTCTCACTATGAATAAGTGTGGTGTAAGAAATCACTTGCTTTCACAGTCCACTGTACACCTAAACCCCTTTATGGGTTTTCATGTTACTATAAAAGGGACAGTGGTCTATGGTAACAAACCTTTCAGAAAAGAAGAGATAATAAAATAACAAATAGGTGATCAATGTTTTAGTCGATTAGACAAATGAAATAATGACTTTTAATCATACTTAATATAAAAACAATGTATTTATAATTTATTTATTTCCACTTAGTTTCACATCCTTTTCACTAGAATTTAAAACATCTTATCCCTCCTTTCCTGCAAATATACCATATCTGGATTTTTTAGAGAGTGAAAATGCCTCATGTGTTAAAAAAGGTTCAGTTTTCACCCACTTGTCTCTAAAAGAGATCTCTCCCCTACCCCGAACCTCCACCCCTTCTCCTTATATCTGATATTTTGTTCTATCACTGACGCTGGAATTTTTGAGTCGTCCGATTAATAAGCATTCATACATTCATGTAAACCAGATCCTCTCAGAACCTTTTCTGTTTATATATCCACAGAATGATAGTATAATGACGATAATTAGATCAATGATAGCGATAAGGAGACTGTTGCTGTCGTTGATGATGATGATGATGATGATGATGATGATGATGACTAAATTGTTAAATGGTTTTGTTTCAAAACCATGCCCGTATTAAATGAGATTTTATGATAAAGGAAATAGCTTTACAGTTTTTATGTGGAAAAGCAATACATAAAATCGTACCTATCTTAAGCTGGTTGTTTTGTCAAAAGCAAATCATCTTCATGTGAAAACAAGAAAACAACTGTTTTTCCATTAAAATAGATAAACCAAGAGTTCCGCGGTACACTCACTCATACGGTTACAGGTTAATTAGACAGAAAAGTCATTTTAGAAGTCCAGGTATGAGTGCTGAGATAAGTTCATTTGTGAGAGGTTTGAAGTATGCAATGATATTGAATTTCCGCTTTCTTAAGAAGTGCGTTCATATACGTGCTGCATTAGGGCCATTAGGAATGCCCGTTGATCATTGCCCTTGTTGAGAGGAAACGCCGATGTAGATCTACATCCTCTGGAGAAATCACAACAATCGGAGAATCACAGTGGCAACAAAAGCGTCCATATATTGCCAGCATGTAAATATGTAATCATTCTACCTCAATATTGATTCAGCCGGGACTAATTCAAAATAATAAAAAAAAAAATACAAATACCTTTAGAAAACGTGAAAAGGTAGTAAGAGCATGTTTTCCAAATGGTTAAGCATATTTCATTAACTGCACTTGTCATACTGATGTTTCTACACAAAATTATTTTTGTACTCTTGTCCGTGATAACATGCTAGTAGTGCTTTCCTGCTGACAATGAAAGATTGCATTAAAAACAAATCAAAACTTGAATATAGATTTGGCATATAACTAAATTATTCCAATGTAATAAAAAAAAACAACTAAAAAAGTAATCCCAATGCTTTATTATGGACGTGTATTGGTTGACACTAACAACGTTATCTGTCAGACTCCAGAAGTCCAGGGGGCATAAAAACAGTCGCTGTCACGTGAACCACTCCATTAGTACATGTCCAGTCAGGTATGACCAATGCAGCATCATCAACGGTGATGTTTCCTGACAGGACAACAGAGAGGAGTATAACAGCCAATTAAAAAGGATCTCCTTACTACTTTAGTTTTTGTTATGTGGTTAGTTGGTAATGAAATTCATGTGAAACAAATTGTCAGCAGAAAATGTAATTTTGGTATGAAATGATATTAGCATTATATTTCTGTGTTTCGACTATCCACCCAGAAATGAAACAAAGAGATTCCTCACTTTCCTATATATAACATAAGTCAACAACGTTTTTGTTTAAGGATAAGTATAGAGAAGAGCTGAGCATTGTTGTTCATTTGTTTTCCCGTCATTTTATGGTAAGTGAAAGCATAAAACGTTTATTCATCATAAGAATGAAAATGTAAGAGCCAATCAGAGTTTGGAATATGAAACTGCTGACGAAATAGACATTACCCAACCTCGCGTGGCCCCGGTGCCTTTGTGATCGGTGAACATCGCGAGGCCCTGGTATCTTGTGATCGGTGAACATCGCGAGGCCCCGGTGTCTTTTTGATCTGTCAACATCACGAGGCCCTGGTGTCTGGTGATCGGTCAACATCACGAGGCCGCGGTATCTTGTGATCGGTGAACATCGCTAGGCCCCGTTGTATTTGTGATCGGTGAACATCGCGAGGCCCCGTTGTATTTGTGATCTATCAACATCGCGAGGCCTCGTTGTATTTGTGATTGGTGAACATCGCGAGGCCCCATTGTATTTGTGATCGGTGAACATCGCGAGGCCCCAGTGTATTTGTGGTCGATCAACATCACGAGGCTCTGTTGTATTTGTGATCTATCAACATCGCGAGGCCCCAGTGTATTTGTGATCGGTCAACATCACGAGGTTCTGTTGTATTTGTGATCGGTGAACATCGCGAGGCCCCGGTGTATTTGTGATCGGTGAACATCGCGAGGCCCCGTTGTATTTGTGATCGGTGAACATCGCGAGGCCCCGTTGTATTTGTGATCGGTGAACATCGCGAGGCCTCGTTGTATTTGTGATCGGTGAACATCGCAAGGCCCCGTTGTATTTGTGATCTGTAAACATCGCGAGGCCCCAGTGTATTAGTGGTCGGTCAACATAACAAGGCCGCGGTATCTTGTGATCGGCCAACATCACGAGGCTCTGTTGTATTTGTGATCTATCAACATCGCGAGGCCCCAGTGTATTTGTGATCGGTCAACATCACGAGGTTCTGTTGTATTTGTGATCTGTCAACATCGCGAGGCCCCAGTGTATTTGTGATCGGCCAACATCACGAGGGCCTGGTGTATTTGTGGTCGGTCAACATAACAAGGCCGCGGTATCTTGTGATCGGTCAACATCACGAGGTTCTGTTGTATTTGTGATCGGTGAACATCGCGAGGCCCCAGTGTATTTGTGATCTGTAAACATCGCGAGGCCCCAGTGTATTTGTGGTCGGTGAACATAACAAGGCCGCGGTATCTTGTGATCGGTCAACATCACGAGGTTCTGTTGTATTTGTGATCTGTCAACATCGGGAGGCCCCAGTGTAATTGTGATCGGTCAACATCACGAGGCCGCGGTATCTTGTGATCGGTGAACATCGCGAGGCCCCGGTGTATTTGTGATCGGTGAACATCGCGAGTCCCCAGTGTATTTGTGGTCGGTGAACATCGCGAGGCCCCGGTGTATTTGTGATCTGTGAACATCGCGAGGCCCCAGTGTATTTGTGGTCGGTGAACATCGCTAGGCCCCGTTGTATTTGTGATCTGTGAACATCGCGAGGCCCCAGTGTATTTGTGGTCGGTCAACATAACAAGGCCGCGGTATCTTGTGGTCGGACAACATCACGAGGCTCTGTTGTATTTGTGATCGGTGAACATCGCGAGGCCCCGTTGTATTTGTGATCGGTGAACATCGCGAGGCCCCGTTGTATTTGTGATCGGTGAACATCGCGAGGCCCCGGTCTCTTTGTGATCGGTGAACATCGTGAGGCCCCGGTGTATTTGTGATCGGTGGTATTGGAGTAGTTTAACGATGAATCAATATACCTTTAGTTTTACTTATGTAATATTCAACATTTCTTTGTTCTTTTCCCTTCCTCATCATCAGGTATATATACTTGTACATGTAATACATAATTGTAACTTACGACATGTGATGATGTGTGATAAGTTCATCTGTTACATTAATTTACATACCTTTGTCCACTGTTACGTGAAGCGTTTGTCCATCTAGGGTTGTCAATGGTTCCCCCACGTACATGCCTGCAGTAAAGAAGGTCCCACGAACAATATGGTTCCTCACCATTCCTTAGAAAAAAGTGGCACGAGAAAAGCATTATCAAATCACACATTATTGAAATAAACATTGGAAGATCCTAGTTGTCATAAGTGTAATCAGCACTTTATTTGTCGGACAGATTACGGTAATTAAACATCTTATGTTTGTATCAAAACGATGTCAAACTTCAAAAATATTTATCTGTATGATTTAAATAGTAAATAACAAAGCTCGCTTCTCCAACCTAAATAGAACAAAAAATCCTGATATTGTCACAGTGAGGAGCAAATGCGTTTATCACGTATCCCACTGTCAAAATAGTTAATGTCATTACCATCTCCAACACAGAAACTAAGCCACACTGACAACCAAATATCCGCCAAATAAAGAAGGGTCCATGAAAATATTTGCCCAGAGAAACAATCACCTAGTACAATTAACAACAAACCCAATCAACAAGTCCAGAGCTCAGAGTATAAGTTATACAGGGATCAATGAAAATACATAGTCAATCATATCCAGTCAAACAACCGGCTAATAAACCTATGTAGTCAATCGCCTAGACAACCAAAACCAATCAAACAGCCGCCTAGACAACCACAACCAATCAAACAACCGCCTAGACAACCACAACCCATCAAACAACTGCCTAGACAACCACAACCAATCAAACAGCCGCCTAGACAACCACAACCCATCAAACAGCCGCCTAGACAACCACAACCCATCAAACAACCGCCTAGACAACCACAACCCATCAAACAACCGCCTAGACAACCACAACCAATCAAACAGCCGCCTAGACAACCACAACCAATCAAACAACCGCCTAGACAACCACAACAAATCAAACAACCGCCTAGACAACCACAACCAATCAAACAACCGCCTAGACAACCACAACCAATCAAACAGCCGCCTAGACAACCACAACCCATCAAACAACCGCCTAGACAACCACAACCCATCAAACAACCGCCTAGACAACCACAACCCATCAAACAACCGCCTAGACAACCACAACCCATCAAACAACCGCCTAGACAACCACAACCCATCAAACAACCGCCTAGACAACCACAACCCATCAAACAACCGCCTAGACAACCACAACCCATCAAACAACTGCCTAGTCAACCACAACCAATCAAACAGCCTAGACAACCACAACCAATCAAACAACTGACAACCACAACCCATCAACCACAACCAATCAAACAACCGCCTAGACAACCACAACCAATCAAACAACCGCCTAGACAACCACAACCAATCAAACAACTGCCTAGACAACCACAACCAATCAAACAACCGCCTAGACAACCACAACCCATCAAACAACCGCCTAGACAACCACAACCCATCAAACAACCGCCTAGACAACCACAACCCATCAAACAACCGCCTAGACAACCACAACCCATCAAACAACCGCCTAGACAACCACAACCCATCAAACAACCGCCTAGACAACCACAACCCATCAAACAACCGCCTAGACAACCGCAACCAATCAAACAACCGCCTAGACAACCACAACCAATCAAACAACTGCCTAGTCAACCACAACCAATCAAACAGCCGCCTAGACAACCACAACCAATCAAACAACCGCCTAGACAACCACAACCAATCAAACAACCGCATAGACAACCAAAACCCATCAAACAACCGCCTAGACAACCACAACCCATCAAACAATAGCCTAGTCAACCACAACCCATCAAACAACCGCCTAGACAACCACAACCCATCAAACAACCGCCTAGACAACCACAACCCATCAAACAACCGCCTAGACAACCACAACCAATCAAACAACCGCCTAGACAACCACAACCCATCAAACAACCGCCTAGACAACCACAACCCATCAAACAACCGCCTAGACAACCACAACCAATCAAACAACCGCCTAGACAACCACAACCCATATCAAACAACCTGCCTAGACAACCACAACCAATCAAACAACCGCCTAGATCAACCACCGCCTAGACAACCACAACCCATCAACTAGACAACCCAAATCAAACAACCGCCTAGACAACCACAACCAATCAAACAACCGCCTAGACAACCACAACCCATCAAACAACTGACAACCACAACCCATCAAACAACTGACTACTCAACCACAACCAATCAAACAGCCGCCTAGACAACCACAACCCATCAAACAACCGCCTAGACAACCACAACCCATCAAACAACCGCCTAGACAACCACAACCAATCAAACAACCGCCTAGATAACCACAACCCATCAAACAACCGCCTAGACAACCACAACCCATCAAACAACAGCCTACACAACCACAACCCATCAAACAACCGCCTAGACAACCACAACCCATCAAACAACCGCCTAGACAACCACAACCCATCAAACAACCGCCTAGACAACCACAACCCATCAAACAACCGCCTAGACAACCACAACCCATCAAACAACCGCCTAGACAACCACAACCCATCAAACAACTGCCTAGTCAACCACAACCAATCAAACAGCCGCCTAGACAAACAACCCATCAAACAACCGCCTAGACAACCACAACCAATCAAACAACCGCCTAGACAACCACAACCCATCAAACAACAGCCTAGACAACCACAACCCATCAAACAACCGCCTAGACAACCACAACCCATCAAACAACCGCCTAGACAACCACAACCCATCAAACAACCGCCTAGACAACCACAACCCATCAAACAACCGCCTAGACAACCACAACCAATCAAACAACCGCCTAGACAACCACAACCCATCAAACAACCGCCTAGACAACCACAACCCATCAAACAACCGCCTAGACAACCACAACCCATCAAACAACCGCCTAGACAACCACAACCCATCAAACAGCCGCCTAGACAACCACAACCCATCAAACAACCGCCTAGACAACCACAACCCATCAAACAACCGCCTAGACAACCACAACCCATCAAACAACCGCCTAGACAACCACAACCCATCAAACAGCCGCCTAGACAACCACAACCAATCAAACAACCGCCTAGACAACCACAACCAATCAAACAACCGCCTAGACAACCACAACCCATCAAACAGCCGCCTAGACAACCACAACCAATCAAACAACCGCCTAGACAACCACAACCAATCAAACAATCGCCTAGATAACCACAACAAATCAAACAACCGCCTAGTCAACCACAACCAATCAAACAACTGCCTAGTCAACCACAACCAATCAAACAGCCGCCTAGACAACCACAACCAATCAAACAACCGCATAGACAACCACAACCCATCAAACAACCGCCTAGACAACCACAACCCATCAAACAACTGCCTAGTCAACCACAACCAATCAAACAGCCGCCTAGACAACCACAACCCATCAAACAACCGCCTAGACAACCGCAACCAATCAAACAACCGCCTAGACAACCACAACCCATCAAACAACAGCCTAGACAACCACAACCCATCAAACAACCGCCTAGACAACCACAACCCATCAAACAACCGCCTAGACAACCACAACCAATCAAACAACCGCCTAGACAACCACAACCCATCAAACAACCGCCTAGACAACCACAACCAATCAAACAACCGCCTGGACAACCACAACCCATCAAACAACCGCCTAGACAACCACAACCCATCAAACAACCGCCTAGACAACCACAACCCATCAGACAACCGCCTAGACAACCACAAACCATCAAACAACCGCTTAACCAATCAACCACAACCGCCTAATAAGCACAAACCGATGAAACCCCAAGCTAAGTATATCATAAGTATATAACATCCAAACAAACAGCAACACCAACATGTCAACATAATCATAATCAAAAAACAAACTACACTAAAACATGAAATACAGAAAGTAAAAGAAAAATAAGACCATGTGGTCCGGATGAGGAAGCGTCTTCTGCTTCATCGACGACACCCGTCATGTAAACCTTGATCAATTCAAGTCGCGTTCTCAAATGAGAACGAGGTATACAACAACGAAATTAACAGGCAAACTAACGAGTATTAAGCATGTCCAGCTTCATATCGCACAAAGAAATGGAATATATGCTGCAATCTGTGATATTCTAAAATAATAGTTATGTAACGCATTTTTATTAGATAACTTTCATGATCTAATCCCCGATATGCAAACGAATTCTGACGTTTACCCAGAGATGACGGCCCTCTTACCTGTGGAGACAAATAATCGATATCAATATTATCAAATGTGTCATCGAAATGTGAAGGGTGGGGGGAGGGGGAGAGTGGGGGAGAGGGCGGGGTGTGTGTTGGTGTTACGATATGATGATCTTTGTGGAATATTCCTATTTACTCTCCTGTGCTTTAAGTGAGTTTGTCGGTAATGTCAGAAAGACGATAAAGAATATCACCTTCCATTATAATTTCGAAGCTAAATACATCAAATGCCCCATGGTATTATTTCCTGCCTTTCCCTATAATTATATACAGAATAATACATAAGTGTACATCTCCATTTCAAAGAAACATACTGATACTGGAGGAGTCTCCCGTCATGTGTCAATGCTTCTCCCCAATGTCCGTGGTTTTACTGACGGACTTTGGTGAACAACTACCTTTACCATTCATACACAGAAATAAGACATTTCGGGTATGAACAGAATGATAATTTAGACAGGTAAGCAAAGAAGAAAAACATTTAAAGCCTTTTCATATGCATTTGAAGTCTGTGTCAACCAAGATCGCATCAAACCATCAACAAAACAACCATTCATTGATCAAACAATTACCAAAACAACCACTGTCTGATCAAACAATCACCAAAACAACCACTGACTGATCAAACAATCACCACAACAACCACTGACTGATCAAACAATCACCAAAACAATCACTGACTGATCAAACAATCACCAAAACAACCACTGACTGATCAAACAACCACCACAACAACCACTGACTGATCAAACAATCACCAAAACAATCACTGACTGATCAAACAAGCACCAAAACAACCACTGACTGATCAAACAATCACCAAAACAACCACTGACTGATCAAACAAGCACCAAAACAACCACTGTCTGATCAAACAAGCACCAAAACAACTGTCTGATCAAACAATCACCAAAACAACCACTGACTGATCAAACAATCACCAAAACAACCACTGACTGATCAAACAATCACCACAACAACCACTGACTGATCAAACAATCACCAAAACAACCACTGTCTGATCAAACAATCACCAAAACAACCATTGACTGATCAAACAATCACCAAAACAACCACTGACTGATCAAACAAGCACCACAACAACCACTGTCTGATCAAACAATCACCAAAACAATCACTGACTGATCAAACAAGCACCAAAACAACCACTGACTGATCAAACAATCACCAAAACAATCACTGTCTGATCAAACAATCACCAAAACAACCACTGACTGATCAAACAATCACCAAAACAACCACTGACTGATCAAACAATCACCACAACAACCACTGACTGATCAAACAATCACCAAAACAACCACTGACTGATCAAACAATCACCAAAACAACCACTGACTGATCAAACAATCACCAAAACAATCACTGACTGATCAAACAAGCACCAAAACAACCACTGTCTGATCAAACAATCACCAAAACAACCACTGTCTGATCAAACAATCACCAAAACAACCACTGACTGATCAAACAATCACCACAACAACCACTGTCTGATCACCAAAACAACCACTGACTGATCAAACAATCACCAAAACAACCACTGTCTGATCAAACAATCACCACAATAACCACTGACTGATCAAACAATCACCAAAACAACCACTGACTGATCAAACAATCACCACAACAACCACTGACTGATCAAACAATCACCACAACAACCACTGACTGATCAAACAATTACCAAAACAATCACTGACTGATCAAACAATCACCAAAACAACCACTGACTGATCAAACAATTACCAAAACAATCACTGACTGATCAAACAATCACCAAAACAACCACTGACTGATCAAACAATCACCACAACAACCACTGACTGATCAAACAATCACCACAACAACCACTGACTGATCAAACAATCACCACAACAACCACTGACTGAACAAACAAGCACCAAAACAACCACTGTCTGATCAAACAATCACCACAACAACCACTGTCTGATCAAACAAGCACCAAAACAACCACTGACTGATCAAACAAGCACCAAAACAACCACTGACTGATCAAACAATCACCATAACAACCACTGACTGATCAAACAAGCACCAAAACAACCACTGACTGATCAAACAATCACCACAACAACCACTGTCTGATCAAACAATCACCACAACAACCACTGTCTGATCAAACAAGCACCAAAACAACCACTGACTGATCAAACAATCACCAAAACAACCACTGACTGATCAAACAAGCACCACAAACCACTGACTGATCAAACAATCACCACAACAACCACTGTCTGATCAAACAATCACCATCAAACAATCACCAAAACAACCACTGACTGATCAAACAATCACCACAACAACCACTGACTGATCAAACAATCACCAAAACAACCACTGTCTGATCAAACAATCACCACAACAACCACTGACTGATCAAACAAGCACCACAACAACCACTGACTGATCAAACAAGCACCACAACAACCACTGACTGATCAAACAAGCACCAAAACAACCACTGACTGATCAAACAATCACCAAAACAACCACACCAAAACAACCACTGTCTGATCAAACAATCACCACAACAACCACTGACTGATCAAACAATCACCAAAACAATCACTGACTGATCAAACAAGCACCAAAACAATCACTGTCTGATCAAACAAGCACCAAAACAACCACTGACTGATCAAACAATCACCAAAACAACCACTGTCTGATCAAACAAGCACCAAAACAACCACTGACTGATCAAACAATCACCATAACAACCACTGACTGATCAAACAAGCACCAAAACAACCACTGACTGATCAAACAATCACCACAACAACCACTGTCTGATCAAACAATCACCACAACAACCACTGTCTGATCAAACAAGCACCAAAACAACCACTGACTGATCAAACAATCACCAAAACAACCACTGACTGATCAAACAAGCACCAAAAAAACCACTGTCTGATCAAACAATCACCACAACAACCACTGTCTGATCACCAAAACAATCACTGTCTGATCAAACAATCACCAAAACAACCACTGACTGATCAAACAATCACCACAACAACCACTGTCTGATCACCAAAACAACCACTGACTGATCAAACAATCACCAAAACAACCACTGTCTGATCAAACAAGCACCAAAACAACCACTGACTGATCAAACAATCACCAAAACAACCACTGTCTGATCAAACAATCACCACAACAACCACTGACTGATCAAACAATCACCACAACAACCACTGTCTGATCACCACAACAACCACTGACTGATCAAACAATCACCACAACAACCACTGACTGATCAAACAATCACCACAACAACCATTGACTGATCAAACAATCACCAAAACAACCACTGACTGATCACACAAGCACCACAACAACCACAGCATAATTTAAAAATTTGAATACTTCTGTGCTTTCATTTTTACACACGTCTGATTGCGGTGGCATTCTTGTATAATTTCTTCATTTGGTCAGGTTTCAGGTTCTGGAACGCTGCATCATTAGGAGCAAACACTGTGACAGGATCATCACCTTTAAATGAAACAGGTTATAACGAAAGATATGATGAATATTTGAATTTCTGATAATATTTTTAAACATACCTTGCATTATTTTATGTTATGAAGGCGATGTGTAAAGAGGAATGAAAAAATCAAATTCAAAGACAATGCTTTAGCATGTTATTTATTTGCGATCTTTAGAAATAATTCCATTTATTTATTTGTAAAAGTGCATTCAAACCTGAAAGAAGCCCAGTCATATTCCCATCAATCATTCCGTAATACATATAGCGGAATATGGGAAAGCCTAGAAGACCAGCAACGCTGCCAAACTCTGGGGTCATCACCATGACGCGGTCAACAACATGTAAAACTCCGTTACTGGCATTGATGTTGCTATGGACAACAGCGCTTCCGGAAGCTGTCAAAACCTAAAGTTCAATTCAACACGGCAAAAGAAACTAATTTAACGTTAACTTACCTAACCTTTTAAACTGAATAGTTTGAAAAGATAAATTGTTGAATGCGGACTCGAATGGTTTTACTGGGAAATGAAACAAGGTCATGTGAGCAGCAGATAATTTAAAACTAAAAACATGCACAAATCAGAGTATATGAAATATTCCAACAGGTACATTTGAAAAAGAAACTCGCAAAATAATAAAATCATTTAAAATGACTTATTTATCTTCGTCGGGAGAACCCATAGCTGTAAATCTAGATAAGTTTTGAAATTGCTGCTTTTGAAAGACGAAAAATAGCATTGCATTAAGTACTAAACATAGATTAAAACAAGCATTGCAAACATCGAACTTCAAAATGTTCATATGATAGATATAGTCATTTTAATCAACACACAATCTCTTATAGAGACATAGTCAGACGTATTGTTGTGAGTATTTCACAAATTAGTTTTATAGCTATTCTCTGTACTGGATATCATGTTTAATTTTCCAAGCAAGAATCAAAATTACCTCGCCTCCTCGATAGATATTTATTCTGATTGGCAAATCCTGATCGAGGCTGATCAGAACATCTTCGTCTTGAAAGTCGGACATATAATGTCGACCTGACGTCATATGATAAAGAAGTGTCGACCTGGCGAATTCCGTATCGTTAAAGTTGTTTTTCATATCATCAGAAAGATTGCCAAAGGCGTCGTTTGTTGGCAGGAAAACGGTAAATGTTCCTGGTTATAGTAACAATTCATTCACTTAGTAGTTATAGGAGGGCATTCATCATATCAGTAACATTCACTATGCCCGAGTCATTTTTGAAAGGCCAAATGTTACACTAAAATGATATGAAAATATTAAGTAGAAAACGGAATGAAGGACAAAATTAGAGATCAATCGTGGATCTATCAAACGAAAGACTTGTTATTGGCTTAAATTTGTTTTTTAGCTCTAATGTATTGAATTCTAATTTTTGATTCAAATGTGTGTTGTATTTTTCCTGTTCATCCTTCAATTATTTAGCGCTTAAAAGAGTATGAATAAGGCACATGTGATATATTTATAATTCATTGTTTCTGAATTTACAATCGAATTATTTCGAAATAACTTGAATGCACAACGTGACCAGGATCACCAACTCTCTATATGCCTTTTAATGCATTAATATTTTGCACCAATACCTCAGTTTCATAGAAATAAGCAATTGAATAGGAAAATATTGTAGTAAAATTTATCTTATGTAAATGACATAGTTTAAATGTAGTAACTTCTTTATAGTTGTCATGAAGAAATTTGGCAGTGTTTACCTATCAGTCTACGGATTTAATGAATGACTATGTGGATTAATATATGACGTCGAAATCCTTTTGAACGTAGAATGCACAAGAGTTGTATCAGACTCTTTGAATGGTGTCACTGTTAGAAGAAAATATAGTAAGTTGCAGTATTAACATTTTGTTTTGTATAAGTTTACAATATTAACCGCGTTCTGCATTTGATCTCGTGATCTCATAAGCTAAACAAGATAAAAAAAAAACAGTGGAAAGGAAACTTCTAGAAATCAACAATACATCTGTTTTTGTATAATTTTCTACAACTCGGTCCAAATGTCTACTAATTAGAGACATCGTTACCCAAAGCACATCTGTCATACCTTAGATGGGAAACATATTTACATTAATGAATTAACCATTATCGTTGGTGTATATAAAATATCTAGCTCTCTTATTTCTGCATCTACCGGCTTAGGTACAATTTGGATGTTAATGTTATGACATTACCTTCATATGTCTCTTCTGCCTTTACCTTAATTATGCTAATTAAAACAGTGTGAGGTATATTTACCCGGTCCTGCGAGTGTCTTGTCTAGCCCTGTGGCTACCAGGTACGATACAAACTTTGTCGCACCCAGAGCCCGTGCTGATGTCACGATATCACCAGTCACTCTACGCACAGGTGAGGTTACATCATGTGCGCCAGTTAATCTCATCACAAGCAAAACAAGTGACAAAACTACCATACGTTCTACTCGTTGTCCTGACATTTCTTGTTAAAACAACGTCGCTTTCTGAGTCAAGTTTTACAGTCACCAATCGCTCATCAGCCCATCTCAAGAAAGATAACCTAGTTTAAGTATGACTGATAAGAAGTGTTACCAAAGCGAAGACTCCATTTCTACTCATATCAGAACATAGTAGTCGTTCGCCAAGAGTTACGTCCCCTTCACATCTCCGTCGTAACAGGCTTCCCATTAGAAAGATACGACATTTGGCATGTTTTTATTAAAGTTAAGGTACAAATGGTTGTTGCTACATCTATTACATTTCGTGACAACGACACAAGGATGTTTTATGCATGCTCCAGTAGTTATAATGAAAAGCAATCAAAGGAAACATCCGTAAAATTACTCGAGTTCATCTTGCAGCTTGCTGCTATTACAACGTGAAACACCATGGCGGACGAACGGGTTTCCCCAAGTTCAATATAGGTTGCTATAAATATTTATCCAATAAGCTATTACGCTCGATATGACGCATTAGGGATTTAATCCCATCTGTCAAATGAAATTGGTCAACAGAAAATCTATTTTAAGCCCGTAATTACCGGCATGACGATGCAGTGTTGATGCAAATAGACGCCTTCAGAAATAGTTCCGGGCCAAGGAAAAACGGACCAATGACACATGTTTAATTTTCCAAGCAAGTAACAAAATTGAAACAGTAACTTTATTAACAACAATAAATTGACATTCCTTGTCAAATAAAGCATATATCAAAACTAGATATACATATATCCATTATCAAAAGCCATCACTCCACAACTATTTTTTTATTCAAAACGAAGTCAGAAACACTTGCATATTTATATGTAGCCACAATGGCTTGTCTAGATAATTAAGATAATAAAAATAATTTCGAAAAGTCCCTGTGATTTTGCTACTTCTGGTTATTAATTTTGTAAATATGCTTTTTTTTCTCACATGATGTACAAAATATTGCCCCATTAGGATATTCTGACAAGGTGAAGTTAACGACGCCATCAAAAGACCATGGCTGCAATAGTAATAATGGTATTGACTTATCTGCAAATAAATTGGCAACCATACAACTTAATGCTAGAATCACTGTAATTCCTCCACCAGTATGAGTGATTTACATTATTCTGATAGTGTAACAAACAAGCTCTGTCCCGTCAGTTTATCCTAATAGGGATCTATGAAGGTATAATGGAATGCTGACAATATTCATATATTGAACAATCATTTTAATTTGTCACACGAAAAAAAAAAAAAAAAACAAGAGCCTGTTTCAGGTCACGAAATACGCCTGTGATTTTGTCTGACTATCACCTACACTATTTATGCTGTATATAATATATTGCATTTGTTTCAATGGTAATTGCGTAATACTTTGCAAAGTTATTGCACCGACATTGAAAAGGTTACAGACATTAATGGGCCGTAACTCTAAAAGTTGTGGATCAAAAATCATGGAAATCAAACTCAATCTAGCTTTGATTGTACTTAAGCTTGCATTGAAAGTTAAAAGAAATTTGTTAAGGCTTAATAAATTCCAAAATCGCTGGGACATTGAAATGTTAACGAACAGAGGGACATACGGACGGAAGATGGACGGATGGAAGACGAGAATACCATAATATGTCCTGTCATTTGACGGATGTATAAAATACATAAATATCAAACAAAAAAAAGAAGTAAATAAATGTAAAGATCATAAATCTAAAATAATAAGCAAAATCACTTGAGGTACGCATATTGTGCATAAAAATACATTGAAAAATTAATTTAAGATTAGAAACAAGAGGCCCATGGGCCTTATCGGTCACCTTAGAATCAATCACTTCACAAGCAATGGTAAGAACTGACAGTATTTCTGATATTGATTTACATTTATTATTAACAGCTAATAGTTGTCTGCTGTTTAAAGAATTATAAAAAAAATCATCACATGTTTTGTTTTTTATTTGTCTATTTCATTATATCTAGGAACATTTATCTTATAGTGATATAGTGACAGCTGTCAGTTGCTCACTTATTATGAGTCCATACTAGTTTATGGAGAAATTACTGAAATTAGCATGTCTATGTGTGCTTGATGATGAAGATAATGATGTTGACTGTGTCTAAGAATCTGCAGCATCCTTATGCATGGAAGTTAAAGTGTGTGAAGAAGCTGATAATGAGGATGTGTGATGCTGCTGTGTGATGCTGCTGATGTTGGTATATATGATGATGTTGAGGTGTGACGATGCTGATTTGGTATGTGATAATGCGGATGTGTAATGCTGCTGAAGTGTGATGATGCTAATGTTGATAGGTGACCATAATGATGCTGATGGTATGTGATGATGCTAATGTGTGACGAGGATGATGATTGTATATGATGACGTTGATGTCAGATGCTGATGTTGTTTGTATATGAAACAATGCTGGAGTGCTAGTATGGCTGCAAGTTATAAATATATGTTTAGAGTGATTGTGTTACATAGTGTCTATGATAGTTAAGATATAGTGTGCAACTCAAAATGCTGTGTGTTTAGTGGTGAAAATGATGCATGACTATACTCTGTAAGTGTGTGACGATGGGAGTTATAGACTGATAGTATATATGAATCTATTTATTCCTCATGTGTTTTTCGATAAATAAAAAATAAACAAATATATATAAATAAATAAAAATAAAATTGATATTATCCCTGTTAATAATTAACATTTAAAATTACTTTTGCTAAATGATTCTCTTGGCATGTTTAAATGGGTTAAAATTTCCCTTGCACCGGTTGCAGTGCGCTTCCATAAAATTCTACAACGATACTACGCGATCTCTAAAAACTACAGCTCAAGCACCATTTCATCAATTAAATAATATTAATATAATACAAAAAGAACTATTACTTACGCATAAGAACTCACCACAGTTCCCCTGTAAGCAATTTCTTTCCGTGAGGTGCGCGTAATACCCGCCATGCTTACATAAAAATAAAATCAAGTAGGAAAGCTCCGTGCGGGGAGGTAACTCTGCACGAACGTCAAAAATATTCTGATATGTTGTGTGAGAACGATTAAACAACACATTTTTATTTGAGTGCGATTTCAGAAATCCTTTTACATTAACCCTGTTTCTTAAGTATCGAAGATCTTGAATGAGCTGTCGTTCTTATTTGTAACATTTTTGCAGGTTACCGAACTTCTTGTTTGGTAAAAAATACTCCGAAAATCTCATATAATTTGAAAACGACTGTAAGAATCTGTTTATCATTATTACTTAAATAAGATACTTTGGCTCTTCATTTTGACAAAAGCATTTTTATAATATTGGGCTGATAACACATCCTAATACATTCTTTCTATTTACTTTTTCGTTTTATTGACCACGCCCATCAATTATATCCAACTGAACTAGAAGTCAAGGACATGACAGCCTTTTTCATATCAGTCCCTTATGCATTTTCTTACAACGAAAACAACGGCGACAAGCTCTATGATAAGAGGGGTAATTAAATTCTCCCTAGGCAGGTGTCGTCGACTAAACGAGTAGATGACTCTTCCGGAACACCTGGTCATATTTTCCTCCTTGTACTTTGTCAGAAGTCTCCGTGTAGATCCTTCTTCTGGTAATATGCTACCCTATTTTAATTGAACTTCAGTTTGGATTATGATAACGCTGACGTGTTGGTATTTTCTTGTTTTGGTGACATCACACGTCATATGACGCCATGACGTCATGACTTTACAATGGAAACCATGGAAATCAGTGCAGAAGTAATGTTTATTGGCTTACATCACAATTAATACAAAAGGTATATGCCAACATATTACTTTCACTACCAGGGTCATATATAGATACATACTTGTGTACTACTAATCCAGATTTTGACAGTTTTAAAGAATTGTTAGATTAATTTCATTATAAATTATAGTAAATTCATAAATATCGCATTCAGATCATTAGAATGCATAATATAATGCATTACGCTGCACAAAAATATTTGTTTTGGTAATAAAAATAATGATTGTCATATTTGTTGTAAAACTCGGTCTTATACTAGCAAACTTGTCCTCAAAACACGCTTTTCCTTTATTTTTCAGCTTTTATGGGATAATCATCCATTTTTTTTTCAACTTTTATTAAGACTTTGACATTAATTAGATTCAACAAAATGGCCTAACCTCAGTCCGGTTTTTTCAACGTTTCGTTACCAGTACTTCAATCCGTTTCACAAGTTTTAATAAGAATCTGGCAAAATTACTAAATTTGAAGAAAACAAAAAGAACGCTGTTCAATATTTTCTATTTGCGACTGTTAACATGATAAACATGATCGTACTTTAAGTGACACAAAGTTTACATTACAGATATAAGTGTTATACATTTGCTCGGCGACCTTCGCGTTTCTTTACCTTTATGTAATATACAATCTCAATAAATTTACTTCCTTTACAAAATTCTCAAAGGTTAAGCAATCCAAAACCGGATATAAATAAAGCATTAAAGATAACGAAACAGATTACAGGGCTTGTGGAAAAGTGACGTCACAGAAGGATTATTCCTCGTTAATACTATATTAGCACTAACACATGCCCATGTTCTGTTAACCATTGTGCTGACCATTGACCTCTGTATCGTGATAGCAGGAAATGATGACACAGGCTGGTTTCCCTCTCTATTTTTAACATTATCTGTTGCACTGAAAACAGTTTATAGTGTTTCAAGGATTCACACAGTTCAAATTATTAAGAAGAAAAATCTTGTGAATTAAAATATGAGAAGCTTTGTTCTTGGTCAACCTTTTAAGTGGATAGTATCGACGATCAACACACATTGTATACTTTACCCTGGAGTAATGTATATCAAATAAAGTATACCGGTTATGGTCTGTTAAACCCTGGAGTAATGTAATTAAAATATAGTATATTGGTCATGGTCTGTTAAACCCTTGCGTAATGTAATTAAAATATAGTATACCGGTCATGGTCTGTTAAACCCTGGAGTAATGTAATTAAAATATAGTATACCGGTCATGGTCTGTCAAACCATGGAGTAATGTATATCAAAGATAGTATACCGGTCATGGTTTGTTAAACCCTGGAGTAATGTAATTAAAATATAGTATACCGGTCATGGTCTGTTAAACTCTGGAGTAATGTAATTAAAATATAGTATACCGGTCATGGTCTGTTAAACCCTGGAGTAATGTAATTAAAATACAGTATACCGGTCATGGTCTGTTAAACCCTGGAGTAATGTATATCAAATATAGTATACTGGTTCTCATGCACTGATTATTAATACGATATCTACATTAATCGTCCATACAGATACATGAACATCCTATTTTGGTTTAAGTGTTTGTATTTTATCGACAAAACTCGACAAACTATCAACATATATATATTATTCTGACATGCAAACCATTATTCCTTTAAATAAGATTTGTTTTTGTTTAAATTCAAATATTCTGTAACAAAAACATTTAACATTACAGCCATGTTTGATCATTAAAGCGCTTTCGCTCTCTACACACATCACTCATGTGTTCAAACATACTGACATTTGTTATCACACTAACATGTTTATAAAAATAAAGAAAATTTAAGAAAGTCAGGCAGACATATATGATTTTGTATATAATATTCACATAATTATCTTTCTGTCTGTCAGTCCGTCCGTCAGTCACACCATCCGTCCGTCCGTCCATTTATCTGTCTGTCTGTCGGTCAGACTGTCCGTCATGAACATGCAACCCCTTCAGCTTTCTAGCTAAATATCATTTCTTTGATTAAAAGGAGACTTTATGTGATACTACGAGATCAATATACCATGTAACCAATATTCTGGTGTTTGATCATTCTAAGAATTCACTATCTGAATGATAATTCACGTAGTATATTGCATGTTGCTTAGTGTCCACACATCGACAATATTTCTCTTATCTTCGTCCGCCTAAGATTCCGGTTTTCTTGAAGATCATATACACCTTTTGGCCGCCATCTAACGGATATAGTGACGTCCTTATCCTGTGTGGCTACTTATTCATGCACAGGCGTTTGATTAAGGCAGTGATATATATATATATATATTATATATAAACATGAAATGTATCCTTTTATTGGCTTTTTTATGTTCGGATTACATTCATTCCTTATAGATATTTAGCCGTCAGTGTTGACAATAAATAACTGCTGACTGAATTATAAAAACCAATGGCTGTACTAAATACGTATTTTTTTCGGATAAATCAATAATTGTTAATGTATCGATTATACCATTACTCCCGGAAAAAATACCACTTTAGGAACTTTGCCTAGAATGATCCATTTGCGAGATTTGAACGCTTTAATTATAAATGTCTATAAACGTTGTCATACTTTTGCATGATGTTATTTCTTGTGATATCATTCATTAGTGCGTCGTTTCTACCATCTTTCATATTAATCCGCGTCAAAAGCCTGTGACTTCGTATATAAATGATCTCCCCGCTCACAGTGTCCAGATAGTAGGTGTAGTATTTGCGGACGCGTCCGCAGCTGATGGTCAGAATGCGGACAAGCGCAATGAAAATAATTTTCTTCTGTCTATTGTCACTCACAGCGGAGATATTGGCTGTCATAACGGGCCCTGGGTAAGTATAGACACTTTTCTGAATAATAATTGATAAATTGAAATACGGTTATAATGTAATAATATTAAATCATATCTTTTTTCCTTGATGTTTTCATTATTACTGAAGAGCACCGTTATTTTGTGTCCTACTTTCCTAAATAAATGCGTTTCTCCATTTAATTTTGAGTTCTTTAACATCCTTCTGTATCTCCGGTGAAAAATGCCTTTCTGATAACACATTTTAACACATATGGACAAATTTGTACGTTTTCTTCTCTTATATTACATACAATGTATACCACACAGTATGCTTGTTATGGTAGAAATAATTTACAAACAATTGAACTATTACCAGAATGTGCAGTTGTAGATAGAAATACTTCCAACAAACTTCTAATTATCGACTGTTACAACGATAGCATCATTATTTAAAAAGTATCAAATGATATATGCTAATGATATCGAAAAATTGTGCAAATCATTGTCTCTTTATGATATGCATTATTTGCTCAAAATTAATTGAGACCTCTGTCTTTGTGATAATTTGTGACCGTTTAGAATTAGGGGGAAATATTTCGACAGCTAGTTGAGAGCCATATTACTAAGTAATTTAACCAAGTTAGGTATCACTGTTGATATGTATTAATATATTATTTTATATATCATATGTTTATTTAAATCGAGGTGAAGGATTTTGTTAAGAACAGAAGGTAATTTCATATAATTTTTCTTTAGAAGTATCTTATGAAATCCTACATTGTTCGGAATATTTCTTCAGTGATATGTTCTTTATAGTTATTGTATTCCATCTTAATATTGTGTTTCTTTCTGGAAATAAACAACCCATCGATAGTGTACAGTCCTGAATAAACTACTGTTAAGTACTTTAAAGTAAAAAGAACTAATAGTTGATACTATCTAGCTAAATACTCTGTGCGTGCTAGATATATACGATATATACACACTTTGTAAGCGTGTGTCGATGAATCAGGACGTTTTACGAGATACAGGAAGTAATGGACAGATACACAAATAAGGATAATAGCTTAGTATGTGACTGTAATACGTTTAACACGGAAACAGGAGCATCTGGTTAATCTAGACTTAGTCATTGAAGAAGCTGTATTTAGCGAGGAGAAAAACTGGTTCTAAATAGGCATTCAATTTTCACATAACATCAAACTGATTTTTGAGAAAAGATTTAAAGTTAAGACACAAAAGTTTGCCATTTCTATCATACATGTCATTATCACATCGTACAAGTTGATTTCTGAAACTTACTGAACACTAAATAATAGTGGCACAGTGCAAAATAAACATGGACTTCTAAAATTACGATAGATATGAAAACAAAATTAACTAAATTCTAGGGCAGGTGAACCTTCCTTTTAATATAATTCTTGTCATTACTAACGATATTTCTCAGTGACCTGCTAAGTTTAGTATCTAGACTTTCATCAATACAGGCGTGCCCTAGAAGGATGTAGATGTTGTATGATGAACGAGTCCTAGAAGGACGAAATAACTATACGATGCAGTTTAATTCGTTGCTTAGCTCTACTTTATCTTACCTAAATTTGCATTTAATGATGGTATTCACTTGTCTGTCTTTTGTACAATCCTAATAGAGAAATGCTAATGGTCTTTTTGTCATGTGACAAGTAACTTCACGTGACAAAGTTTGTATGACAAGAGGATAGGTTACAAAACAATGAAAAAAAAAAAAAAAAACACACACACACACAAAACAAAACAAAAAAAAAAAACACACAAAAACCAAAAAACGAAAAAACGACTTGATAACGGCATAACAAATAAAACACAAATTTGATGAAACCAGGCAAAATATAAACACAACCAAGATTTAAATGGGGACTCCAGAATAAAACCAAGGTGTAAGGATAACAAGACAAGGTGTTCCGGAAAGGGCAACCCAGGAGACAGTAAAGGTTATATGGAAAGATAGAATATAAGAAAGGTTGAAAACCATGTATTATGTTCCATCTTAGGACCAACGTGTGCACCAGGCGGAAAAGAGACTACTTCACTAAGTTGGAATGTGTCTACCAAACGTGGCAGGGGTATGTTGATATTCTTTTTCTAAAATACAAATTGGATGCGTGAATAAGAATGAGAGACAGATTGAATAAGAGGAAAAGAAAGCTGTGAATCGATGGAGAAAGAGAGACTTTCGGAGCTAAGACACGTTTTGAGGATTGACCTTAGGGCTCCCGGCCTTGGCACTTCACAAACTTGTGCTGGAGAAAAGCATTCCTAGTTCTGTTTCTCTGTCGATTTCACATTTATATGTATGTGTTATAGTTATTAAAGTGATTTAGAAGTATGTGTATATGTAAATAAAATCATAATGACACTCGTTCATCGCTAAATTTTCTTAAAACATAGTCAAATGAAACCAATGAAATGAAATGAAATGAAATGAAATGAACTTAAGAATTGGAGACTACGCTTCCAAAAAACATTTTCGATTGTCTTTCGAAAAACGGGTTTTGTTTGAATATTTAACATCATCACATGAATATTAATTAAGCACATGTGAACTTGTTTGCAACATATGTTTCGTTTCTATAGATGCTGTGTGTACAGAACGATACAGGTATGCCGATACACCACCGAATACTACTGCTGTTCTGGATATGAAGATGTTGGCAACACGTGCACACGTATGAATAACTTTTCACTTAAAATTTACCTTGTTGATTACTATATAATGCCTTCAATATATCTTAAACATGTTAGTTTGCTTAAACATATTTTATTTGAAAAATTCAAAAGGAATTGGACAAAAATTAAGACAATTTAGAAACGTCTTTTTCAATCAACAAGAAAAGTGTGGCGTGAAATGCCCATCACACAGCATTCGGACAAATTAGGGGAAAGATACTGTAGTGCTGTAGCGAATGAGAATCCTGAATACAGAATTAAGAATATCCTCTAACATTGGTTGAAACAGAGATTGGTATATATCAATGTTCAGTGGATCCCTCGACAGCCACCTAGCTGTTTATTGTAATATAGAACAAAGTGTAATACATTCTTAGTTAGTAATGTATTATTAGGTTTGATTTAGCGTTGTTGGTCACGGATGTAATACTTATTTACATTTTTTTTTCCAATCGCTTTTGAATTTAATATTCATTCTCCTGTAAATAAAACAGTTTGGGTCACCACAATTGGTAAACTACAATTCACATTATATACAACTTCTCCATACCTTCTCGATATACAAGCACAATGTTTCTTATACACTAATCTTTTCATATTTAATAATTGAGAATGGAATTATCAAAATGCACAACGGAGATCAAGTGCATAAGTACCCAAATTATCCTGTTTTGTTTTGGTTGTTGGTTTTAATTTTAATTTTTTTTTTTTTTGTATTATTTGTTTTGTTTTTGACACAAATGGAATACGAGTTGATATTTGTGCAGACATATCCCGTCACCAAACCCCTCTTTATGTGAAACCATGCCATAGTTTAGGTATCGGGTAACAAGGAAAACTGACACAAAAACCCCCGTAACAAAGATGATAGGTCAAGTAGAAGAACACGAAAATAATCCCAGATCCCAGATATAAATTATCAGAACACTCACTACGACATCTTACCTCTTCTCTTTCGGATTTGAAAGTGGATTGTAAACAAGGCTAAAACATGGGAAAGCTCTTTATTCTTGTGTTTTACCTCCGTGTCACGTACGGCAAAAAGCACCGAGACACATGCGAAGGGAGGTAAGCGCTTTAGAATTTCGGATACTGTAGCAATAGACGATAACATTAAACCACAACGGATCCCTTGTGCTTTGTAGTACATTACCTCGTTTTGGCTTACAGTTGAGCGACTATTGAATTTGGAAACGTTATGAATTCTGTTTCTTAACAAGATCAAATCGGTAGATACTTAGAGGTCAGAGTTTGAAGTTCGAACATATATATTTACCTTATCATCAATGTAGTTGAGCATGATGCAAGGTTATTTCACACAATCAATTTACAACCATCTCAACTCAACCAAGAATTAGCTGTAGAATTTCAGACATTTTTTACCCCTAAAGCATCTTTTCTATGAATCTTCTTTTCATTTTGTTATATTTTGAAACTGTCATAAGAATACGGAGATAGTTATATATATAGATATAGGTTTAGTCAAATTTTCATTCAGATTTTTTTTTTGAAAGCAGTCTAAAATGGTATCGCCACATTCTTATCCACTTGAACTTTCCCTCTGTTCACAGCTGTCTGTAATGACGTGTGTCAAAACGGCGGTACTTGCATTGCACCAAACACGTGTAGTTGTACTGGTGGCCGGTCTGGGAGTACATGTGGAGATGGTAAGTACACACCTTTAATTTAGGCTTGGGCCATCGTGATATTTAATGTTCATAAGTACTACACGGATATTTAGTGGATATTTAATAGGTACCAGTGAAATGTCTTACAACTTTCGCGAGTACAAAATTTCGAGTTATCCAAAAATTCGATTTAAGTGAGTTCGAATGTTTAGCGTGAAGTTCGACCGGGACCGATGAAATACTTTAAATTATACAGGCTCTTCGGCGAGTTATAGCAGTTCGAGTTAACGAGGTTCAACTGTAATTTTAATTCATGTTTAAAATGTCTAGCAAATGACAAAATATATCATTGATACACTGCAAATTAAGTTATGTGATTAAATACCAATGTATGTTCGTTTTATTTTATAATCCAAGGATATGTTGATTAAACGAACAAAATATTGCTGTGATATTTTTCAATTTATACAAGATGTTCTGCTTTTAACGTGTTATATAAAAACACACTCATGTTTGATATACCTAATCATAGACATACGTGTGTGATTCATGCTTTCAAATGATAACTTTACACCTTTACATATGTAGTGCATTCAACACTTTACACATATAACAAGAGTGGTAATTCTAGTAGGAAGATATTTCGTCCCAGAACTATTGAACCCTGTTTTAACAAATTATGAGAAATGAAATTATTTTACCAGCATTTCTTCTGTCAATATGTCAACAGAACATTACTACAACAATGATTTATTTTGCAGTGGTGTGTTCCCATCTACGTCCTTGTTATCCGGGCATATGTACGCTTCCTAACACCTGCACATGTGCTACAGGATACACTAATTCTGCCAGCAACTGTACACAGAGTAAATACCTATAACCTCATCTTAGTGTTAATACTATGAAACTGTCTCCGTTATATTCAATATGATCTCCATCATTGCATCTGTTCTTCAGAAAAAAATGCGAGAAGTCGAACTTAAAGTGAAAACAATACCAGTTAGCCTAAGAAAAAATATACGTGCAATACAGAGAATTGTTATCTCGATCTTTTCCTAAGCAAACATGGACATCTTTCCACCCAGCTGTATGATAAGCGTGGTGATTTCGTTTCCTTTATTGTAAATTTTCCGTTTCTGGATAGCAGAATTAGATTATGATTATGTTGACATGTTTGTATTTTCTTGTTTATATATATATATATATATTACATCGGATTTTCTGGTGCTTGAATAAAACTCAAATTTTTAAGGGGCGATGGTCACAATTCATGTGACGTGTTGAAGGTGTGGAAATCAGTATTAGTGGTGATCGTTATTACAACTTTTCGTTCTTTGATATATATATATATATATATAAGATAAAGCTTTATAATGTACCAATATGTATGGTAATCTAAAGGAAATTCAATTGTTTATTGACAGTCACGGTAGCTCCAGCGTTCACAGCCGCTCGAGCTGAACTGGCCTTTTTAAATGTGGAAAAACAGATGGACGTTTACAACGTGACGACGGATTCAACAAACCCAGACTCCGATCTTCCTGATATTTTATGGACAAATCTTCTGAAGTTCAACACATGGGTGGTGGATATGCAAGCAATTTACGAACCCGGCTTTCTACCTTTAGCCCCAAACTATATTCCGGAAGTTCAACTCGGGATTGCATCAGCCAATATTATTTATGAACTAAGGGCATGTAAGTTGTTCTGCAGAGAGACATGTTTAATCTGAACGTCATTTTTATGGATTATTGAACCTATAATTAGTTTCGGCTCACTGATGAAAAGAGTCATAATGTAAAGTCGAAAAGTTGCAATGGGAAATTATTTCATAGCTGATAGTTATCTTTACATTGAATATTTGTTCTGCAGGTCGTTTTCACTTTTTCTGCTTGATATTTCCCGACCATTCGTGTTTTCACTAAAAAGATATCCCAGTTAAATAGTTCCCAAATCTGAAATCATCTTTGAAATTATAGTTTATGTATGTTTTTCTACGTCATAGTCAAGCGGCGTCTCAATTTTATCTTTTCTGCTGTTCTCTTACATAAAAAAATAAAATACATGCAGTGTTTGTTGGATAATGGTATGAAAAAAGTATAGTTTAGAACTTTCAATAAATATTCATTATGGTATATCCAGAATGAAATGACTATCAGATGATTGAAATTCTGTATTTAACTGATATTTGAGAACTAGATAGGTATAAGCGATATAATGTTCTGTGTGATTAATATGCAAATGATATATGGATTATATTTCTGCATCATATCAATCATTTCTATGCTTTGTTGTGTTACTTTTAAAAGAAAGGTAAAATCCATCCAAACTGCAGAAATTCCTTCATATTCCGGGGAAATACCCACAAACATAGTCAAATTTCCTTCCCTGGGGAACCCTCAGACAAATTGCTAAAATTCCTGCAGTCTAGGGAAACCTTAGAGTGATTCGTGAAATTCCTAAATTTTCTGGGGAAACCCTCGAGTAATTGGTGAAATTCCTATAACCTTTTTGGGAAATCCTCAGACCAAATGCAATTCCCTATTTAAATTTGTGTTGGGTAAAAAGCAATATAAATTCAATGTCTAATAAATTTGAGCTACTGGGACTTATCTTGTCCTCTGACGCTTCTTGTAGAGATTACATCATGGGAATGTTAGGTTCGCAGTGAGAACAAATCTAAAATTAATTATGACCGTAATAAGTCGATGTAGTTAGTAGGAACTGATGGATAGATAATATTCAGTTGTTTTCATTTACATATATGTATTTCAAAAGTATGAAAAAAAAGATAATTACGAGTGAACTATATATAATAGTATATGATTCACAAATATTTTTTATTAACCATAAAATTATTGAAATGAAGAAAAATGAAAAACAAAAAAAAATCGCTAATCGAAACTCATGGACCAATCTGGATGTCTGCAATGGAATATGTGTTTAAAACTGCTATTAATATCATCAAAGTCACATAATTTACGAAACATCAAGCTGTTGGCAATTGCTGTAAGGAATACGATTTAGTTTAGGATATATTGAATTCAATGATACTAAACAATTTTCCGTATTGATAGTTACGGTTAATATTTTTTATTCTATTACACTGCACTTTGTGCTTGCACGTTAACGAAAACATATTCCCCATATCCTTTTTAATTCTGTTTGAAAAAGAACCTGCTTTCTTCATATTATGTCGTTTTTTAATAATGTGGTCATTTTTCGCTGTCGACTCGGAACATTCCAGGTTTTACCATCACTTAAGAGTATAGAAGGACGAAACAGCTGAATGATGCATTTTAATAATATATCAAAATGAGTAAATAAAGGCACCAATCATTTATGTATCTTTTTTACCGGCAAATGGATTTCTAGCCTTAATTTTCACGAAGTTATTGTTTGACTCAAGATTTTTTTTATAGTTTACTAGCTTACTGTTCTAAAATGATATCAAATATGCTTGTAAACGGGGCTTATATATCATGACGTTGACACAATACCACTTAAACTTCGTGTTTGTTCAATACTACCTCTAAACACATACCCGTACCGAATTAACACACGTTACTATTATAGCTGACAACCGTGTGAAAACATCTGGTACCCAGGCTTGTAGTCCGACTCCAACCACCCTGGCACCTGAACAGGATATCTTAGTCTGCCTTTTCACGTTTAACACTTTTGATTTCCGTGTGGATCATGCTGACACGTATGTTTTCTCTTTAAGTGTTTTATCTGCAGTTCACATGCTAGTTTAAACAGTATATATTCCAATACGTTCTATTTTTTGCAACAATTGTTCAATAAACAATCAATTGTAGATTGGAAAACAAACTGAGAGCGCATTCTAATCCATCTGATATTTGTTGATGTGTTTGACACAATTGATTAACAGCAACTTTCGTTTTGCCCGACTATCCAATAATGAAATTCAGTTGAAATGTGTAAATTTCATGTATCTAATTTTTGCATCTAATGTTTTCCTTTTCTGTATTTCAGATTCGTCATTACATTTTCCGTACAAAGTGGTGGATTTGAGAAGTTAAATATCATTGACACGACCACTGGATATGCCACACTAACTTTCAGTGGAACTGAGAAACTAAAAAGTGTAGAGTTTAGGTTTGATTACGTCGAGCCCATTCATTGTTTCATTCCAAACTCTAATCTTACCTGCACACCTACTTCCACGCCACTGGAGATCACTGATCCCATCACAAAGGTACGGTATCCATACAGCTAATAAGAAGTTTTCCAGCATGGGATGACATTGCCTAAATAAATTTTTATTATATGACTTTTTAACAAAAAAATGTGAATGGTGAAAAGGAATATGGGGCTAGTGTACCTATCCATCGACATGTTGACTTGTTTTTTTAAGTCTTCTCCTAGGCTTCAACCTTTAGGCCTCTGGCGTCACTGAAAAGTCCTAAAAGAATGAAAGTTATATGATGAATTTAAAACCATTGTTCGGCTATAGTGTGTATAACTCTAGATTTGTATTTAGAAATGCTATTTACATGTGTGTGTTTTGTACAATCTGTAAGGACATCTTTAAGGAGTTTACATCACCATGACACTAGGCAATTGTGTATGGCTTTCTAAATGCAAAACGACCAGCATAACGAATTATCATATTGGTCGATGTTGGCAAAATCCATTACCTTTAATGAACTTGAAATTGTACGTTGTAACACCTTCACATTACAAAAAATAGGTTGACGTGTTAGCTACAAATTAGCAGAGGTAGATAGTGGTCGACATCTTAGCTGTGACCTAATACATATAAGTATGAGAAATGTATGTAATGGCCTTATACATATGAAGGAACAATGAATAAGTCTCAGTTTGCAGACAAATTGATATACATATGAGAAAAGTTTTAGTAAAAAAGTTCAGTCACTTCTACACATTCATCGAAACATGTATTGTATTGTTGTCTTTACAGAATAACGTAACGTTTCTGTGGTCTGGATGGGTGGACAGTTTGGCCGGAATGAGTCGTTACGCACTGGAGATCTTCAAACTGACCAGACAAGGAGACATACTGCTAGAAGCGGAACCCCTTAATCCAGAGCTGATAACAGCATTCAACGATACTAGCGTTAATGACTATAGTTTTACCTACCAGCCCTCAGGACCAGGAATGTTCTCTTGTATTTTAGAAGCAGCTGATTTGGCAAACAACTCCAGATATATCCGTCGATTTTTTCTCTACGACCCGGTTTCTACTATAACAGTAAATCCCGGAGTGATGAAAGTAGCCAGTGCCACACCGGAATCTGGATACACGTGGCAAGGCAACCAGGAAAATGGTGCTACAGACATAAGTGTGTACTGGGCTGGTCATTTCATCAATCAGCTTCAGACTGATGGAGGGTTCCTGAATGCCATTCAGGACTACCCACCTCAATTACAGGATCTGAACGTGGACACTACCTTCAAGAAAGTCATCGACACAACTATAACTGATACTAGTAACCGAACGAATGCAGCTATTACAAACATTGATGGCATCATTAAGTAGGTGCAACTATCTGTATATACATGAAATGAATGAATGTGATACTCCAAATCACTTTTTCATTGTTATATTGAGAAATGGAAGGTGTTTTTTAGATTAGAGCTAATAACCAGCATTTGATAATCCTACAAAAGTATGAGGCACAGATAAGTCAATACTACAGAGTTGAATCTAAAGTTTATTTTTATTTTGCAGATTTGAAATTGTCAGAGAACGCAAGCTTGTTGGAGTAACACCGGATGTTCCCGTAACTGGCTGGACAACCATTGATCCACTGGCTGTATACTACAACTTCTCTGATAACGTTAACGGGGGAGATTGCATGATGATTTGGGTTCGAGCATATGACATCATGAACAATAACGCCACCGATTCCACACAGGTTTGCTTCGATTCGACCGATCCAATTATCCGCAGCACTAGCCTTGAACTGAACTCACCTTCTCCTGACTTTGATGCCTCCAGCAGGTAACCTTTCAACTTGTCAATTTTCGTCGTTTTTGACAAAAAAGTATTTGGCGGATTTTTGTTTCTGGGGATGCATAATAACTCAACAAATCTGCATGCAATAATTCTAGAATGTACCTATGTACTTGACATTCTTTTAATATATATGAAAATCACGAAATGTACTGAAATACGGGGCTTGTGCACTTCCTCTTTAAATTTTTCAGTCAGTTTGCATTTAATTCCCACGTTAAACATCTAGGTTCTTAGCGTCACTGACGAGTCCGAGGACGAAACAGTCAGTTTAATTTATTATTTGGCTCTACGATATCATTTCCAAATTTGTATTATTCAGATAAAATCATTTTACATCATATTTACAGGGGACTTGTGTTGAGTAAAGATCGTTTCTGTATGTTAAGCTCAGACTTAGATATATATTGATATATATATCAATGAGTGATTATATATATTATGTGTTTTATGTTAGAATTTTGATGACAACGTCAGACACACAGAGTGGAATAGCTTCCATCCGCCTTTCCTTTTACGACAACTCGACCGGTGACCTCCTGTATGATGCAGGCTCCGCAGCTTCAGGCAATATCACTAATGTAAGAAATTTTGGAGTACCCTAAAATCTTGACATTAACTAGTTATTTTTCATCTCCGAGAATCAGAGAATCAAACTTCAGCTAATTTGGTGGATGCTGGTGCACTGTCCAAAGCACCACCAACCATCTCTGTTTCGAAGCAGTAAAGGTTAGAATCTGAGAGATTATGTGAATCATTATTTCATCAATCATTTAGAAAGTTATGTTAATAGTTAATACTATTTAAGAATATAACGTAAAATATATCTGAAAATTTATTGTGAAATTCCTTTATTTTAGAAAACCCAAGCTGAATGTGAACAGACAGGAGACTGCTATTGTATTACCACTGGTGCTTGTTATTCGTTAAATTACGATATGTACTTCGATAACTGCTGGTTGTACAAAAAAAATTTGGACCTGTCCACTCTTGTAGTCAGAGCTTTGCTGACCTCTTACAACCTTGCGTCTTTGTTCACAACAACAGAAATAATGGTTGGTTTGATGAAACAAAATGCGTTGTTTACAGTAAATGTCTAATTGATTTTCGTTTTAAATATTGTCTAATTAAATCAGATTTGTGCTGTGGATTAAGCATATTTTGTACGTAAAACATACCTTTTAACAAACTAAAAAAAAAATTGATCAATTCTTATCTCCCTTGAGTGTTGATAAAGCGTTTAAGTTGGCTTGGTTTCTAATATTTAATAAATTATGATTTTTTTGTTGCTAGATTACATCAATCAACAATCTAGATGGAATAACAACGTGTAAGTATGAACAGATCTATTACATGATAATGTACTGAAACATTTTTGGATAAGGTTGATTATTGTCCTTGAAAATCACTCTATGTTGACATGTTGGAATTCTCATTGTTGTGTTCTTTCTCTCTGCCAAGGACATTCGATATATTTAGATTAGTAAAGAAAGCGGGTTACATGCGTTTTCTAACATATAGTCATGAAAAAGATATCACAGACACATAGGCAGTAATTAATAAAATGTAAAAGAAGAGTCTAATATATATCCTTTTTCACGTTTAATAATTCATTTGATCGCCTTCTTTTTTCTTATTTACAAACATGCCTAAAAGTAGGAGGTTGCATTTTCTTCCGTTGCTATATAAGTACTTATTACAGAATTTTGTTATGCAGATATTTTGGACAGATTATTAATTTGATTTTTAAAAACGGATGAAATCCACAAAGATCTTCTTCGTTTTGTATAAGTATAAAGTTAAATCATGGTAGGTGTTAATGCAATTTATTGATATCATGTATTTTTGTCTCATCAAAATCAAAATCCACAATAATGGAAAGTGCTATTTTAATCTTTAAACGAAGAAAGTTTACATTTACACGGTTTTTTTTTTTTACGTAAGTAAGGATTCAAATAAATTAAGTCTCGTACATCCGTTTACTGTAATATCCATTTTTAAAAAACACTTCCTATCTCAAGGGTATTGCTGATGTCTTCTCACAGGTCCTGGTGAAACCACTGTGGTCACTGTGGCTACTTTATCAGCTGGGGGCATCGCTGCCATTTCTCTCGGTTTGTATTTCTTACAGTCTGCATAATGATTGGAATAGCACTTCTTATAGTTTTTCCTTTGTTACACAAAATGGTTTTACGAGAAGGTAAATTTATTTTTTTAGTATGCAACTCATTTTCTGAAAATTGTAAAAAGATATTATTTTAATAATGACACAAAGAAAGATACTGTTATTGGATTTACCTTTATGATACATCAACGTTACCGCTGGATATCTAATCAATTGGTTGTATATCAAATATCTATGTTTCAGTAATAATACTTATTCTGGCGTTCATAATATTCGTGCTGTTTCTACACAAGACTGGTCGTCTGAAAAAAGTAAAGGAACGAAGCATAGAGCGCTTCAGATCAATCAGAGGAGGAGCGGACACTGGTTTAGTCGGCTACAAACAGTGGCAGGTAGGACGGGATAACACTTGTAAGATCTGCTATAGATAGTCGTACGTAAGATAAGAAAACACTTGTTAGGTCAGATACAGACAGCGACAGGTAAGATAAGACAATACTTGTTAGATAAAAAACAACACTTGTTAGGTCAGATACAGACAGCGACAGGTAATAAGACAAATACTTGTTAAATAAAAACAACACTTGTTAGGTGAGATACAAACAGCGACAGGTAAGATCAGACAATACTTGTTAGATAAAAACAACACTTGTTAGGTCAGATACAGACAGCGACAGGTAAGATCAGACAATACTTGTTAGATAAAAACAAAACTTGTTAGGTCAGATACAGACAGCGACAGGAAAGATCAGACAATACTTGTTAGAAAAAAACAACACTTGTTAGGTCAGATACAGACAGCGACAGGTAAGATCAGACAATACTTGTTAGATAAAACAACACTTGTTAGGTCAGATACAGACAGCGACAGGTAAGATAAGACAATACTTGTTAGATAAAAACAACACTTGTTAGGTCAGATACAGACAGCGACAGGTAAGATCAGACAATACTTGTTAGATAAAACAACACTTGTTAGGTCAGATACAGACAGCGACAGGTAAGATCAAACAATACTTGTTAGATGAAACAACACTTGTTGGGTTGGATACAGAAAGAGGCATGTAAGATAAGACTTAACTTAATAAATAAACAACACTTGTTAGATAAACTGGAGTGGTCGACTGCAAAAAATGGAAGGTAAAGGGCGTGTTCAACGGTGGGGTACGACCGGTAGTTAAAATTCCATGACGTCATTACGCTATTGAGTTAAATAACTAACGTAAATCTACTTACTTAATGCCAATTGTTCTTACCGGCCTCTCAGAAGTTAGTCCCATTCTCAATGTGGCAATATGCAGCTAAAGTCAACATATTTTTGCTTTTAAAAGACTGGTGGATTTGCCGAAGAGGACATATACTTGTACGGTACCCAGACATATGACACGGCACCCAACTGGTTGATACATTCAGATGACTTGACTCTAGGAAAAATCATCGTCGTCGGGAAGTTTGCAAGAATTTTCGATGCCATATTAAATATGGGAGGAAAACAAAGAACAGTCGTTGCCAAAACACTGAAAGGTAGAAAATATCTATAATATTTTCCGTTATTATTATCATTGCCATTATTTATCTTTGTACGGTTCAATAAAATATGGCATGGTAGAGCGATAGGCTAGTTATCAAGTGGTTTCGGGTACAATCCCTATCGGGGGCATTTCAAATTTACCTACGATACATTTTTGTCCGAGTAGAAATAATTCCCGGTCCCCACAATCATCGCTGTTTCCACTGAAAAATCAAAGAACTTGTTAGTGGTGTTTACGAGTGGAAGGTGTGGAATAAGTTTATAGTCCTGTCAAAATCCATGCCGATTCCTAACGCTACGCAGAAGTTTCACTCCATCTATAGAAACAAATGGTTTGGTTGGAACTAATTCGAAAATTTAAACAAAGCTAACATCTGTTACTATAACCATAATTTCTGCTTATTTAAGATAAGACATGCAAAGCATTTGAAACAATACTACTATTTGACTACTATTTGTACCTATGACAGAGGACTTCACCGAAGAAGACTCTTTGCTGATGAACGCAAAAATCAACTTCTTTGGCAGCAAAGTTGGTCGCCACTTGAGCGTCTTGGAATTTATAGGTGCAGTCACGGAGGACCCGAAAAGTGAGTGATAATTATCTTTTTGGTAATCTATTAAGAAACCAGTGCATTTGTAAAGATGTGTTGACTGAAGGAAAATAAACCTCTTTGTTCATTTATTACTACAAAACAAGGCTGTGATATTATCATTAGAATTCAACTAAAGCATATCCTTTCATGCGGAATTTCGTTCATCGGCGTTTTCTAAATGTGATATGTAAATTTTCACCCAGGTTGACTTGACGAAATCAACAACATCATTCAGTTATAAATCTTCGACTATCTTGGCTCGCTCCGTTAACCATTTGTAGGTATTTCGTATCCCTCTACAAGATAACTCCTGAATGAACACTTTAGCATTATGTCAATATCTTTTTCAGTGGGACCTGTGATGGTATTAGAATACTGCGACAACGGTCCGATGAACAAATGGCTTCAAAGAAACAAGGCTTCCGTCAATGAGTCTATCATCGAAAACCTCTATCGCTTCTCGTATGACATTGTTCGGGGTATGGAATATCTTGCTTCTAAAGATGTAAGTTTTTTTTAACTGGACAACTAATTATTTACACTGTTTATGGTTTGATTTTCTAAAAAAAATATGAATGTTTACATTTGTTTGGCAGATTAGAAGAATATTCACAGTTTTATCAAAGCTTGAAACAACTCTTCTTCACGAAACTTATCAATTTGGGCACTTTTTTATCCCTCATAATTCAATGTTTATTGTAGCTACATTGTGTGTCTAAAATAACTTAAATCTTTTGACAATATATTACCAGTACTTTACACACATTCCGCACCGACGCTGTATATTAGTGTTTATTTTCTTTGCTTTGCTACAAAGATCATACATATGCGCTTGGCGGCAAGAAACGTTCTTCTGACCGATACCCTGGAGGCCAAGATTAGCGGATTTGGGCCAAGACAAGGAGATGATGAAGAGGAAGGTGGTAAAAAGGCCAGTATTTAAATCATTCCCGATTTTTTCTGGCTTATTACTGTTTATTAGAGTTATGTATACACAAAATTATCAATCTGAATATTTTACATGTAGGTTGTTGAACTGTTAGTATACTTGATTACTCTCTTTTTATGGAAAAACGTACAACAAAATGAAAGAGTTCTATGAAGACAACTTTTCAATATTCCTTTGTACGGTTGTAATGTAAATAGTAAGATATATATTGGCATTAGCATTGTGTCGCAGACTTAAACAGTTTAAAAAACAAAGAAAGCATCAATTTGCTAACAAAATGTTTATCGTAACTCAAATTCGATTCAATGAAAACAAAACATGAATAAAACCAATTTCCAACGAGACCTCTACAAACGAAAATGTGACCAAGTTTTCCGACAATATAAATTGTTCGACCACTTATGATTTTTTTCAGTCTCCTCATTTAGGCCATTTTCATCACTGACGAGTTCCAGAAAGACGAACCAGCTGTTTGATGCCGTTTAATGCATTATTTAGCTCTGCTGTGTTTAATTCTAAATCATAGAATGGTGCTATTCATTTGTTTTTTTACGTGCACTCTCGATCGGTTTAAGAAAATAATACTTGATGTGCTTTTTTTGTATTCTATCCAGTCTCAAAAAACAAACTACTACTACAGCATACTTACTAAACGTTTACATTTCACGCCACAGGAACGTATACCAGTGAAGTGGATAGCTCCCGAATGTTTGGACAGCAATAAGGCAGCCTCTGAGAAGAGCGATGTTTGGTCTTATGGCATTGTTCTTTGGGAAATATTCACACTAGGTAATTGTCTATGATGGTTACCATGGTTAATTTCCTATTCAAGTGTTTTTCGGTTACCAGTCCTGAAATACTTTGTCCCATTTTTTTTTCAAAAAATGACATACACCTATAAACTGGTTTTTTTTATGAAAAAAGAAATCTATTCGTTAAAATTTGTCAGTCTTCTCCATAATTACTGTATAATGAATAAAATAAGGGGACTGTATCTATGTTCTATCAGAACTTCATAAGGTGACAGACTTTTAAAATGACTTTTCGCCCATGGTCTGTCTGTCCAATTGTCAGCCCGCCCCGAATGCAATACCTGAATAGGTCATAATATTACTCAGAAACATGATAGGTATTTGTCTCAGTTGTTCAAAGCACAGTAAGTCTATTTTGATATATCGGATATCAAACCATATCCGCATATTACCAATATATCCTGTGATAATGAACATAACAGTAATATACTCGTCGCCTCTAGTACATACGTATATATACAGTGTATATACAAAATATATGAAATGTACGTCCTCAAAACGAAGACAGGATATTTTACTTTTCCGTTTTGCCGTTTCTTTCTTTTTTTTTTTTTTTTTAATTTTTACTGATTCGGAAGTTTCTGTCACTTTTCCAAAAGTCTGAATTAATGTTGATTACCATGGGCCTATATATGACCGATGATATTTGTACACAAGTGTATTTAAAACTGTAGAGGATTTGTTTTTAAAGCAGCGTTGTTAATCACTAATCACTTCAATAGCAAAAAAATTATAACCATTCTACTGGTATAAGGACTTTAACCTTCTTATTTTCTTCCATGTATTCAGCTTTCATTCATTTTTTGTGCTAGTCCATTTTTTCTTATAATCTCTTTCACATTTAGTATTGAATAGCCCATTATTGAAGTTTCCTTGTGGCTTAATTACTATGTTATACAAATCGTCGCCATGTGTTAAAGGAAACCTAATCATGTTTTACACAGGTGAGACACCTTACCCAAACGTACGAAGCAGGGAGCTTCCGAAGTACATCAAGTCAGGAAAAAGGCTACCTAAGCCTGAATACAGTGATGATATGTAAGTGCAATGATTACATATGTATCATGACGTCACAAAATAAAACCAAATCATTCTTAAACTGAATATAGGCGCTACGCAAGACATTATGTAGAATTTGCACCATGTTTTTAAATCGACATCAGAAACCTTTTTACACATGGTGTTTTGTTTGTCATATTCAGCAACAAGTGATGTGACTGCCTCAGAACACTTACATTAGACATCCAACCTCGTGTGATAATATAAGATAGAAAATGTAATCTCAGATTTTAGTTATTTGTATTGAATTGAGAATTACAGCTTTCGTCGCAAAATTAATCAAAATTTAAACCAGAAAAATATACATTAAAATTAATGAGGATGTGAAGTGATAAATATCCTGATGTGTCATACATTTTCATGTTTACATCTGCATAAATGAAGTTAAATATGTATGTTATAAATATTTCAATGTCTTTTGAATGTGGAAGTATAAATATATATATTTGTCGTTGCAGTCACTTTAGCCTGATGTTAAAAACCTGGCAAAAAGCCCCGAAAGCACGTCCTACCTTTAAGGAAGCTCGTCAAGAGATAGAACATCTGTTCAGACAGTCATCGAATGACCTGTATTACTATGACAGCACCCAGCAGTGACAACGTCGTTAAGAGACAAAAGAGAAAATAACTTTCTGATAAGGATTCATGAAGCAGCAGTTGTTTTCCATCCAATCAGGACAGCTGTACTATATTGACATAGGTGTCAAATACATGAATACTGTAATACATGTGAGGCCATGTATAAAAAGTCATTTCAGACTATCTTCGAGAATTATGAGTCAAACAGATTCACTCTAAGTAAAGCTTTTAGTTAGGATCATCTTACAACAACAACTGGTGGGAGATATATATTATCGATTTCCTCCCTCTTGGTAATTGTTCTCTTATTAAGACATCGTCGCGTTATAAATTGGTTTCTTTATCAGGACGATGTTTATGGTACAATGTACCCTCGCTAAATACTATAATAGAATTGCCCTGTTATTTATGCACAATAAGCTGCACTGACATCAGTATCATTTTATTGTCTCTGACATCAGTTTATACTATTCTGCTCTGACATCAGAATCAGACTAAATCAATTGTCTCTGACATCAGTTTACATTATTTTGCTCTGACATCAGAAGAATCGTACTAAATCAATTGTCTCTGACATCAGAAGAATCGTACTAAATCAATTGTATCTGACATCAGTTTACATTATTCTGCTCTGACATCAGAATCAGACTAAATCAATTGTCTCTGACATCAGAAGAATCGTACTAAATCAATTGTCTCTGACATCAGTTTACATTATTCTGCTCTGACATCAGAATCAGACTAAATCAATTGTCTCTGACATCAGAAGAATCGTACTAAATCAATTGTCTCTGACATCAGTTTACATTATTCTGCTCTGATATCAGAATCAGACTAAATCAATTACCTCCGACATCAGTTTATGTTAATCTGCTCTTGACATCAGAATCACACTATATCAATTGTCTTTGATACCAGTTTACATTAATATCATTGGACCTTGACGTCAGAGTAAATTAAAGGACCCTGACATACGTGCATATTTACCCCTTGCCAATGGCTTACCCTCATTAGTATAACGAATACTGTCACAAGATGGCGACTTGGTCAACATGGAAAAAAACTTATATGATGACATACAGAGGATAAACTAGCATATTAACCTATGGTTATATGTGATAGTAAAACTGATTTATTATTGTTAATTCCTTATTTCTGTTGACTCATATCGAACAAGAGATTTTGCTTTTATGTTTTTAAATGTTAGTGGTGTTTTTCCGTTAAAAATGGCCATGGTGTGATATTAACGAATAGAGTGATATGATAAAAATACTTATAATGTATTATACACACAGAGTTGAAGTCTTTGATAAGTTTACATGTTGGCGAATAGTCAGAGTTAGACCAACTAAGTCGCCATTCTATTTTTAACATTGCATATGTATGTCCTTAAAGAAAATTAATAATTTAGTAATTTTGATTAGAGGTAAAGAAAAGTTTTCCTTGTTAACAGTCATAGATAAGAGCTAAACAGTTTTAAAGTTTAATGGATATATTGTGTGAGGGTGGGGATGGGGGTTTGGGTTGGAGTGGGAGTGGTTCGGAAGTCAGCCGCTTCCGCTCATCAACGATCTTGTAAAATGAAACGCAGGATCATAGCCATTAAGTAAAGGTGAGATTTTAAAATCTACAAGTGGTCGACACTTACCTAGTATTGTTGATAAAAACTAGGGTCAGTATGAATATCGTGGAATATTCTGTTAGTACATGTAAGTATATCCATTTACCTTTCACTATAAACAATCCCCACATCTGTTTGTGTAATATTTACCCATTTATATCGGTGTATTATCTATCTTTTTCACTTTCTTTGTTATTTCTGAATTAGTTTACTGATATTACACTAACCTAATGGAACATAAGCTTATATGATACAAAGCGAGCGTTGGTAACATCACAAAAAGTATATTCAAAGTCTAACGATCAGGAAAAGACCATTATTTTGTGGTATCTAAATTAATTAGATATGAAAATGTCCATACCATTTAGAACTGGAATGATGAAATATGTGCTGTTCCAGACAGAAGCTATATATTTGATACTGTTATATATTTGTCATACGTAGTCATACTCTTTGAATGACTTCTAAATAACTGAACACCTTAGACGTGTTAATGACTAATGTTAAATTCGAAGGATCATTGTTTGCTTAAAATAAATGTATTATGTGTCATTATGCTTTATCAATAAAACTGTCCCCAAAAGGTTTATATCATAAATATTTTTTTTTTCTTTCTTTTAAATTGGATATATGCATAGCAATGACGCAAATCTGATAGAAAAAAAATCTACCAGTCAAGAGGAATTTAACACATATCAAAACGACTCGATAATTAATATCCAAACATGTCAATATTTTATTTATTTTTATATAAAAAAGTATCTATATTTAAACAGCAATAAAATGTTTATTTTCTGGTCATGAATGTTTATGTGTATTTCATGTTTCACTTTTAACAGCAGAAGTTACATTGCCTGTAAAAGATAAATTATATATTCATTGGCACTCCACTTAATTCCTGTGAGCTGATTGTGATTAGTGATTTTATAATATAGTATACACAGTCTAAATGATACAGGAAGTATATTAGTTTTCGTTTGGTTTTGTTAATGTTAGAGGGCGGATTAAGCCATCTATGTACCGATCTACATGTACAATATACCAGAACAATACTATCACTGACACGAAAACAGCTTTCACTTAATTTCCGTTAATCACCAAACGAGTTTTCTATCAAAAAAGAGAAGAGTTATTGTCAAACTCACAAAGCGACCATTCAGTGAATTATAGGTTCCAACATGTGTTTCAACTGAACATGCGTAACTTCAGACTGACGTTTTGTAGGGTTTACCCAGTACCCTCCATGCAGAAGAGAGATTACTGACTTCAGGTGTAAACATTCAAGGCTTGTTTCTGTCGGCCATTACTGGACATGTCAAACTTGGAACAAAGGAAACTGACATTTGAAATTATGAAAAATAGCAATTATCAAACTTGTACTTTTATTTTCCAGTTTACCTTAGTTTAAATAATAGTTCATATCCATTATTTAAACAAAACAAGAACTGCTATTATTATGTGAAAAGAAGGGTTCTTCGGAACTTATGTTGTCTGATTTTACCCATCGATTTAAATTTTCGCGTTATCTTAAGATTGAACCATAAGCTAGAAGCTTACATAATTTCCTCTCTTACACTGGTGTTACAGAAATTACACAATGACTTTCACTAAACATTGACGAAATGGACAGAGTTTATTATAAAAAGTCCCAATAGGACAGTCTACTGTGAACCATAGAAGTTGAAGGTTGTTAAATATGAAGAATAGATGTTCCGTAAGGCGTCTGATTGTCCTTATTACAAGCCTTCCTGTTTTTCTCCACCATCCAAACCTATGATGTCTTTAAATGACACTGGCTATCAAAAGGACTTTAACCAACAAAATATAAAATAGATAAATAAATCTACAACATGAATTCACACAGAGGGGATATCCACAAACATCACTCATACTTACCTAAACCGACAATACCTTATCTCTTCAAATCCATTCATCCATCATTCCTTTCATTTTTTTTAAACATGTGAAGATATGTTTTTACACTTACTTGTATTATAATCAGAAAGGGCGTTTGTAATGTTCATGTAATTTGTATCGAATTCTTCTGGCAATACAATATATATAATATTTATGGGGTCCACAGTGTCGAACAGACTTTTCAGAGATCAAATGTAAAAAAAGAGGGTAAAGATGGAAATCACCAGAAGACAGAAATTTGTCTCTTTTCTTCCCGAAATTTTCCGACGAGAAAAGACATCAATTAAAAACAGACACGTAGTGTAACTGAAATGAAAGTAAAGTAAGCGTTCGGACCACCTTTAGAGTTTCTATGAGTTGCATATCGCCACCTATCGGCAACTCATGGAACACTTTTCGCGGGAGAAGCTGTCAGGAGGGGCTGTGATATACATAAAGTAGATTGTATTACTTTACCATATCAAGATATGGGACACAGTGCATTTAGAAAACCTGATCAGTTGGTCTGAGATCTTACCTTTCTTAATTACAAGAGGAGGCATGAGGAACGAACAACTAATACCATATACATGAAGGTATATGTGTATCATTATCAGAAACTCAATATCAATTGTCTCTTAAGTGCCAATATTTTTTGATGATTTACGAGATCAAAAAGTGCATTTAAATTGTACAGGTTATTACAAATCAATTCCAATTTGATTCGTCGGGGATAAAAGCATCACTGAAATATATCATGTGATTTAATTAAAGTGACATATCCATGTATAAGTTTGTCAAAGGGCAACCCTTCAACCCCTTAGCTTGCGGGTACGTTTTGAAGCCCAGTGAAATCATGAAATGTCGCAGTACTTTTCATAAAGTTTGCTATTTTACACTTGAATATATGTTTTCTTATATTTGTTGTTGACGACGGAGCAGGTTGTAACCAAAAACATTCATTTGGGGAGGTTTTACCCATTCTGATCTGTTTGGGGACAGAGAAGCAGCAGGTACCAAATAGGTGAAATAGATTATACCTTTAAAAAGCTATTGGAATGAAGCTTTTATTACAAATTCAACCATATGTGTCCTTGGGCGAAGCGGGTAATCAATTTTGTACTTTGGACTAAACCAAACTTTGAAAGCCATGTAGAGAGTTAATAAAAATTTGGAATTCTTGTTCAGAATTCTACAAAAGTCACTGTGTTTGATTCCCTCTCCTGAAGATGTAAATTCTACAAATATCAGCTTAGATAATGCAGTGTAGTTTATTTCTTCACTTAGAAAATGCATGGATTATTATCAGATGTTAAAAGCTTTCAAGAACTTCATTTTTTTTTTCTTCAAAAAATCAGATCGGAGGTTATTTAAGAACTTTCATATATCTTAGTGCTGCTTCATACCAGCTGGAGCAACATGGCAGTGAGTGGCTCTCAACATTGGAGATTAAACAGAAAACATTTATCAAAGAGGGTCTCAGTCAAGTGATAAAACGAGAAAGATTGCTGCAGGATGCTAATTGTTATTACAAAGCGCTAAATGCAGGCAACACAGAAGATGACAAAATGTCAGCTTCCAAGAATCTTGCATTGCGCCGAGCACAAGTGGAAGATTCTTGACAGCTGTATTTTATTTCAAAGACACGTTCAAATTTTTCACTACAGCAGTGGATTTAGGGAAAGGTTTGAAAGTCATGGATGGACAACTTTATGTCTTCAGCAAAGATCTGCTGAGATGGACTGAAGTCTGATAAATGTAGCGAAATGGACATTGATGATTCATAGATTTTTATGACTATATCGTTCTAGAAATCCAGATAAGTAACATTCGGAGTGAATGCTATCTTGAAATCGCAAACAGTCATTTCCATATGGGAGTTACAGCATTGGAGAAAGGGAGCTTTGAAAGTACATAGTCAGAGATGAGAACCTGTCACAAGCCCTTTCATGAAACTATTGCAATCGGAAAAGGGGAGGTAACCATTAAAGGAGAAGTAAAAATCCCAGAGGGTAATGTTTTCATGCATCTTTGCATGGCTTAATAAATGCAGGCTAGGTATACAAGTAAGTTAAGATTAATCCGCTGAGATCTGGGAGCAAAATTTATCAAATCAATCCTGGAGGAAAATTTGCATTCATTGTAATTGTGAAATTTAATAATATTTATTATACATACGCATTTTAATGTAAAGTCTTTAGTATGTCTAAGGTCTACCTGTATCGGAATTTGGATATTGGGACTATTTTAGGAATATGGTCTGTGTCTTTGAATTTTGAAAATGTGCAACAAACGTTCAAGTCATTATTGAAAAAAATTAAGAAAAGCATACACGCTATAAAGATATTTCATTATGTTTCAGTGGTAGGTTTTGGATATAAAGTCTCACAGATCTTGGTTTAAAAGAATACCTAAACCCAAGGTCATAGTGATCAAATTTGTTTAGTACTCAAATAGTTTCACCTGCATTCTCATTAAATGGATAAATTTAAGTTTTCCCAAAGAGAGTCAGTTATTTAAAGACAAATTATGTTTACTTTGCAATGTGAGCTTGCATCAATTTTTGTGTTCCAATTTGGTTTGAAAGTGTAATTACAACGAACTTTTACCCAATGATATGTCAGTGATATATGGGTCAGATGCTCAGTGAAGTTTTGTATATACTAAAGTTAACTGTATGACCTAAAGAGGGTGTTTTCCTCATGATCTGTCATTTTCATTTTTTATTTCTCAGAGCTGTTGGCTCTCTTAGATGTATTTATCATCCAGAATTGAAAGGATTAAGTGGAGAAACATCCAGAATTGGTCTAATTATAAGTAATCTTTGATAAATGGAATTCAATGCTGTATATGTAGTTTGCTTGCTTGGTTTATCATCCTATGAACAGAATGTTATTTTGAGACTAGGCCTCCTTACGGTAGTTGGTAACTTACCTCTAGGTACAACACGTACCATCTTAAGTAACTTATGTATAACTATGTCTCGCCCAAAAACACTATTATGATAGCACAGTCTGAGTTCATCACAACTTCATGAGAAACACAGGTTGCCTAGCGTAAGGATTGTAGCACACACCTCAGATTTTCACCTTAGATAACACAGGTTCAACAGTGTACCAACGGAGATATTGGGACTACCTCAGTTTACATAAACAGGTAGTCTAGCTCCGCAGTCCACAGTCAAGAGGCAAAAAATAAATTTTGTTTGGAAAACCTGAATTCGGACTCTGTTTGAATCATTTAATACTATTGTTAAAACAGCAGATTTACTCTTGTCGAGTGCATACCTAACTTTGAAATTTGTAAAATTTTATTCAAAAAGACAATGAAAACTGAAAAGTGGGTTAGTATAAAGAATAATAGATTAGCGGAATTTCAACAAAAATGGGGATGTTTTGAAAATGCGTTGGACATATAAAAATACTTAACGTTGCATATATATATTCCCCTTTTTATATTGTAAGATCATTAGTAACAAAACACATATCAAGAGTGATGTTTCAGTTGGGTAAGGCCCTCTGACAATGCCCCGGGGTACCCTTTTGCACACAATGTCACTCTTTTTTCTTGGGGGAGGGGTGGGGGGAATCCTGTAAATGTGAATTGTGTACATGTGGTAACAGTGAGAATGGTGAGAGGTGTACAGTTATGTTTAGATTTAGCTTATTGTTAGCAGTCGTAATGTTGAA